GTGGAGAAGCAAAGGTGCTGTTCGGCAAGAATTTTATTCAGGGTTTGTTTATTGTTTCACTTAAGCTTCGGCATCCTCCAGTTCAGTTCTGCTGCATTCATCATGCTAGAAAACAACTCCACTGAAATACAGAAAGGTTCGCTAAGTGCACAGGCATAAGGAAATGCTATAGCAGTTCCTCCCAGGTGCAGCTCCGCTGGGCTGCCCTATTGTGCTACGAACAACCAGTTACGGTTCTCAGGGCCCAGGTTGAGAGGATGCTGCCCGCTGTGTCTCGGAAAGGCACGGCCCTATCAGAGGGCGAATAACTCTGGCAAATCTTAGCTCATTCAATCCCTTCATGCATATAGAAACGGAGCATTATTATGCATGCTCTGAAGAGCTTTCCTGTTGCAACTCTGCAGGAGTCCCTGCTCTAGGCTTGGCACTTCTGTCGGGGCGGCCAGCCTTTACTCAGCTTGAGGCACTCAGATGTTGCCAGACGACATCACCCATTATCACAGGCTTCTGTCCATAATGGAAGGGGCTGATGGGAGTTGTAGTCTAACAACCCATGGGGTACCCACAATTGGGAATGCTTGGATGTAGGGCTTCACCTAGAATGGTGGCTCATGAGAATGCTAGGGGGATGGAAAATGACATCAGGAAGGCCTCAAGAAGAGCAAGTGGTGTAATAAAGGATAGCTTCGTCTACCCCCACACTGGCTGGATAAAGGCACAGTCTTCTTCTGGCCAACAGGTTAGATTTCTCAACATCTTAAAATACTGCATGCCAGAACAGTTGGCCATGGAAGCAACCAGAGGGGAGGCACACCCTTGATCTAATCCTAGGCGGAGTTGCTGAGGACAAGAGGTCTGTGCTGTTGGAAACCGTGACCTCAGTGCCGTCAGGTTTAACATACACTGAAATGGAAGACTGTTGCAGAGGTCCAATGCAGTTACATTTGATGGGAGAAGAGGAACGTCTCCAACACAAGGGAACTGGTAAAAAGGATTTGGAAAGGGGGACTCCAGAGCGTTGAATCCCTTTAAAATTACTCAAAATCACCCTAATAAAGGCTCGGTGTGTAGAGCACGATTTAGGAAAGCCAGCAGAAAGACCATGACATCACCAGCATGGCTAACAAGTGGTTGCAGGGATGCTGTTAGAGCAAAGAAGATTTCTTTCAGAAAATGAATGCCAGTCTTGCCCGAATGAGGAAGACAAAAGGGAGCACACGCTTGCATAAGGAAGATGCAAGAAGTTGCAGAACAGCGTTTTGAGAAGCATATTGTTCACAGCACCAAGGCCAACGACAAACAATTCTTCGAATGTATCAGAAGAAAGAGACCATCTAGAGAGGCACTTGGACGGCTGGATAATAATGGAATTAAAGGAGCCCTAAAGGAGGATAAGCCGACTGCAGAAAGCTCTTTTCTTTTCATTTGCTTTCACTGCAGAAGATGCAGGCCAGACCCCTGTGTTCAAACAGGTGTTTTTTGGGGAGTCTGCAGTACTAAAACGGACAGTGGGGACAAAAGATAAAATTCTCAACCTTATTGACAGATTAAAAGTTAATAAATCACTCAGCCCAGACAATGTTCCTCCTAGAGTTTTGAAAAGAAATCAGATATGAATCTGCTGACCTTCTTAAAAAAAATATAGCCTGTACCAAAGATTAGTCTTTGTACCGGAAGACTGGAAATTTATCAATGTTGCACCAGTTTTTAAAGAGCCTCCTGTAGGCAAATTGTGGGCTGGATAGCTGAACATCTGTTTTGGCTAAAGTCCTGTTGCAAAAGCAGCTCACAAAAACGGTCCCAAATAGCAATAAAAGCACCCTTGAACTCCTTGGGGCCAACCCCAGTTCTCCAGCAGCGCTTGCCTCTCCTCTTTGTCCCATGTCTCACCAGTGCTCTGGTGGAGATGAACCAGGTAGGATGCTCAGAGTTACCTGAACTGGGACAGAAGCTAAAATAAATTCTAAATATATGGGCAGCCTGATCCTATGGCTGCTGGGCAGTATTTTTGGATTCTCAGTTATGAAGCCGGAAATCGCTCTGGCTTCATGGCTGGGGATTTGTTCTGGGATCTCCATCCCCTCTTGTAGCAGGTGTGGAAGGAACTGCTGCTTCCCCGAGGTCACGAGAGCAACCTTGGAGAGCAGTTCTTGGGACTGGGTGAGGGTTATGCTTTCTTCCTGTTCCGAAGCACCAGGGTTCACGAAGCTGAAACTGGGAATGACAGGGACACTTGCTTTTGGTGCGTGTTCCCAGATCGTGCTGATCTGGACTTGCCAGAAGGGGAAGAGGAGTGGAGGGGGTGGTGCACGGGTCCCCAGACTTTGAGACAAGAGGAGATGCTTATCTCAAGCACCCCCCCCCCACCGCAAGCGCTCTGAGAATAGCCAAGATGGACAAGAGCCAGGAGGGGGCAGGGGAGAAGAGTCAGGCGAACCTGGTGCAACTCTTGGCCCCATGATGTGGTGTCGGGAGGGGGGGTGCCAACTAGAGGACAGGTGATCAGAAAGGAGGTGGGCTTGCTTCCAAATGGCCCCTCAGGAGGGATCAGGTCCAGACATTCAAACGGAGGGCTTCTGGAACTAGTTGTTTAGACGGGGTTCGACAAATGGCTCTGTGGCATTTGAGTTTATCAGGTCTACTTTGCTGAATAAAGAGCTTTCTGCAAAAGAGCAAATGTGCCTTGCAAGCCAGGGATTTCCTCCCTCCATGCATTCAACAGGCCACCTAAGCGGCTCGCGTGGCCAAGAAGCATGGAGTCAGCTTCACCTGCTCTCCATAGGATGCTCCAGTCTTCTGCGTTTGGAAGAAGACTGGCATTTTTCCTGGATTGCACCCTAATGCCGTTAAGTTCTCAGGGTGTTTAAGTCTTGGCCTGTCCCCCAGTTTCTAGACAGAGTTGAAATCCAAAGCAATTTAAAGTCCCTCCATTGTCAAAACATTGGGGAAAATTGTGGGAGGTTTCAATACAAGTAAAAGAAGTGTGGTGTCTTTTTGTTTGCTTGTCTTTGGAACATGATCTAACTGATGGGATAAAGCAGGTCAAAGCAAATTTAATTTTCTGGAAAAATGGGAGATTAAGAGAAACTGACTGATTTGCCCATCCCCACTCATTCCCTTGCAGCTATCAGGAAGCTGCTATAAACTGGAGTCCCTTCAATTGCACCATGCCCAAGTTTCCTTCGGCATCATGTCCGTAATGACCTGCAGGGAAAAAAAATGGGTATTTGTGTAAAACCCTGTAAAGAAACCTTTCTAATTCCTTCTCTATCTCTGTTTGCACAGTAATAATTTCACTGGATTATCCACGTATTCTAAACGTTATGCCTGTTCTTAGAGTCATCACTTATTTTTCCTCATCATCTGAAAATATGCTCACTGCATTTTGAAATCTCACTTAGGGAAATTGGTGGGGTGTCCTATTTCCTGACCTTTAAAACTCTGTGTAGGAAGAGAAAACGGTGGTGCAGTAACAGAAGGGATGTTATGTGAGAAAATATAGCCATCAGCTGGGAAAAAAGATCATACATTGTAAAAAAAAAGAAAAAAGGACTGATTGACTTTTTGCAGGTTAGAAAGATGTAGCAGTACCAAAGGTGCCTGTGGTAAACAGTGTCACACTAGCATTCTCTCCTGCAATAAGCTAAGTTATGAAAATTGAGCACCTGTTAAAATACATTTCAGTGCAGAGTATAATTTATGTGCTTCTCTTAGCCAGTGTGTTTCTTGTGACTCGGGCACAGAATACTAATGAAGGGAGCTTTTACAGGCTGCAATCATTTTCCCTTAATGATGGAAAGGAGGCTTGCGATTGAAAGGTCGCCTTGCTAGGTGCTTATGACTAAACGTACAGAATGCGCCTGTGCCTCATTTCCCACGCCTGCTGCTTTGACTTGGGAATGGCTGAGCACTTTCAGTGCCATTGGTTCAGGCCTGGCTGGGCCTTTGAATCCCTCTTTCAGTGGTCTCGGAGGAAGGAAAACAGATGTTGGCTCTCGCATAGTGGTATGAGAAAGCCAGCATCTATTGGCTTTCCATGGCGTCTAAGTGAAACTTTTTTACCGAAGTTTCAAAGCATAACATACTGATTGGGAAATGGGAGAGGTGGTTCCTGATATGGAAACCTGGACAAATGAGTTGATGATGTTTGATAGGAGGCTGCCTGGATTTGGAAGGACTCTTGGAAGATGCTTTCCCATCTGTCTTCCATTAACTAAAACATCTGGTGCAAATGCATGGCAGGGCCTTGTTGGTGGTGGCTACAAGGTTTTGAAGGCTTTTCTAGTGCTTCTTCATTTAGACTGTCATGGCATCTAAACTGATTTGTTTTTATCTGGTAGATACTCATTGTACCAGTATGCTTTGTTTCAGTGCTTATTGGATCAGTTTTATTTACTGAGTTTTAATATTTTACACTGTACTTATTGTTAGCTACCTTGAACACTATCTTTAGTGAAAATGTTCAATATATATGTGATACATTTACAAATGTGGAACTATAACCAATTTATTTAAATCTCATGTTCTCCTCCAGTTACAAAATCTGTTTCAATAACCGTTTTCACGTGCTGTCTGTTTCCTGCCTTTCGTTTCTCTCTCCTCTTAAATTTGTATCTGAACATATTGAATGAATGAATGGATCATCTAAGAAAGAGTGATATTCCATCCATCCATCCATGTGAGTTAGACTAGGGTGCCTAATGCCTGGGAATTGTGCAGCTTGCACCAAGGTGTGGAGAATGCACCCAAAAATAATAGCTTCTACATGGGATTTGGCACATTAGCTGGTCAGCCTGCTGAGTTTGCTTGGCTTGCAGAAAAGAAGGGGAAGACCAAATAGTAGCTTTCAAAGATACGATGGGTTCCTTGAGAGAGGGCAGGGGTGTGCGTGGATTCGAATCCCTGCCGAAAACATTTAGAGAGAATGGAAAGAATGACTGAATCCTGGAATACGAAATACTACAGCCAGTATGAATGCTTTGCATTGTCTCTCCCTGCAGCTATGGGTCAACCAAGAAGATGGAGGGGAGGAAGGAACGAGTGAAGTACAGAATGGACACTTGGATCCAAATGCTGCCGACTGCCTCTGCCTCGGCAGAACTCTGCAGAACCGAGACCAGATGAGAGCCAATGTGATTAATGAGATAATGAGTACGGAGCGTCACTATATCAAGCATCTGAAGGACATTTGTGAGGTATGGAGCTGTCTCCTTGATCATTTTGCTTATGATGAAACTGTCGAAGAGATCATGAGTTTGCTGGCTCAGTCTGACCGGTTGACCTAACTTCATCTCCCTGCTCAAGGAGCACAGGGGGTGATCATAGGCTCATCATTCCCTCCAACCTCCCTCATGGGGTTCTTGGGAGGACCAATGGGATAATCCTTGGATGAGCTTTTGAATTGGACAGAGTTGACTGTGTGAGTGCATCTGCTTGGATCCCAGTGAGGCAGGCATTTCTGTATTGTTTACACCCACCCAGTCTTCCTCTGCCTTTGCCTTGCCTAAAAAAGCTTCACCTTGGGAAAAGGTGTGTGTGTAACAGGTAGGGGAGAGCTCCAGTGTCAACAGGGGAGGGAGGCAAATCCACAGGTAGCCGGCTTAATGCCTCTCCTGTCCCATCAAATCCTCCTCCTCCTGTTTGAAGGGTGGAGGGGGATTCTGGGGTGGGCATTCTGGCATCCTCCTACCATTAACCCATGTGTGCATATATCGTACCCTGAATTCCTTAGCATTACAGAGGAATGCCAGTCAGATATGTCAAGCTGTATTCTAGGCCTACTTGGGGTCAGAGGTGGGCAGGCTTAGCATAGCAAAACAGAATGCTAAAAGAATTCATGCTGGTGGTCCATTTTGCGGAAGGTCACTGTGGAAAATGTGCAGACAATACACACCAGCAGATTAAGAACTGCGGGGAGGGGTGGGGAAATGTTCTGGATTCCTCAAGTTCTCAGACCTTCAGGCCGTATTGTTTGTCTCCTTGGTGAGCAAACACGCAACTGGCTTGTTGGCGAGTCTTTTCTCTGTCTCTCTCTTGTGCTACTACAGTGCACAATCCAGTAGTAAAGCCGAAACCTGATTTGACACAGAAATCGATGTGGACTAATCTATATCTTTTATCCATAGAACTTGTAGAGGAAGTCAAACAGAAAGCTAGGAAGAGACCACCCCCATCCCTGAAATTCTATTCCTCCACTGTTCTTCTGCTTGTTCTGTCCCCCATTCAATGGCTGCTTGGTTTTGTTTAACCAGGAGTATGTCTGAAACGCATCCTTGAGTTGGAAAGGCATTTCAGTTCATCAGTTCATTTTTATTTTCTTCCCTATGTCCTGGGTTGCCAGAATGCAGGTGTACATTCAGGAAACACTTGTGGATCTTGAAATACTTTGCTAAGGAAAGTTCTGTGCTTCTATAGATCAGCAAAATGCCACACCCCCACCCCTACACACACTTTGCTCAGACATCTATACAAGCACATAGTATTTGGTCCCTTTCTATCTTACTTTCATTGTCATAAATGTGAAATACATCACCTTATCAGAATGATGAAAATACAATAAAATGGAATGAAATAGGAAGATTAAGTTAAGAGAAGGCATACAATTATTAATATCCCTATAAAAATATCTATAACCATCTCATTAGCTATAAAAATATCTATAATCATCTCATTAAACAGATAAAGAGATTCTACCTTATTAGAACAGTTCTAAAAAGACAAAAGCAGTCACTTTTTACAGAGAAAAGATAAATAGATTATGGATTATATCACAAGATGTGGCCACATACGTATGCATTAGAACCTGAACAACAGAGGAATGCTGCTGTATCTACTCCACTTCAGAAACAAGACCATTTAGTTTGGATCTCCAAAAATCAAAGGAGGCCTTTGGATTAGGGGAATCTGGAAAGCATTTTCTCTTCTCTAGCCTACCTTATTAAGTACCTGAAATCCAGGAGCTCAGTGGCCAATCTGCTGCATTGTTGTGGTTGGACAGGTGCTCCATGGTTTGGACCCTCCATTCATAATATAGGTTGAATTATGCAGCATGTTTGCTCCAGAGTTTGAAATATTCCTGTGTATGCACAGTGGAATATCTGCTCCAGCTCAGTATCTCAGGGCCAATAAAAAGAAGCTAAAATCAAAATCCCGTATAGCCTCTTCTGTTTACTGTAGATTCTTGGTCCACCTAGGCATATTTAAACATGCACAAATAGCTATTTAGGAGGAAATGATCGTAGCAAGCATTGAAACCCTATGAGGCTGCCATCAGTTTAATGCAAGCAGCATAAGGTTGTAGGGTTTGTTTGCTTTTTAAAAAATCACTTGGGCTTGGACTTGATCGGCATGGGAGGATGCAGTGATGGGAGTAATGATATCCATGGATTTTACCACCTCACCTATCATCTGGATGGTGCCGGGTTTCATTGATTCATGCATTTAATTTGCATCTGGTCTTTCTGCCAAGCAATGGCACTCAGGGAGGCTAAGAACAAAATCTTAATTAATATATAACATGAGGACAAATAAATTAAAAACAAATAAAAGACAGCAATAAAGGAAATACACTGCACCAGCCAATTAAAAGAAACCCTCCAGCCACAGACCAGCTTATAGGCTAAAGGACTGCTTAATTTTTTTAAGGCTTGCTTTCCAGAATGACAGAAGGACAACTGAGGAAGCAGCCTAACCTTTCACTGCAGGACAGTTTCAGAGCCTGAAAGGAGCTGTGAAGGAAGGGAGGGCTGAGAAGTGTGGGGAGGAAGAGAGGGAGCTGGATAGTGAGTCAGTTTTAAGATTATGCTCAAAGGCCCAGCTGGCTGGTTCAGCCCCCTAGCACCCACCCCGAAGCATGTGGAGACAGGGGTCCTCCCCAGTGGAATTCCTCCCCAAGAGGCTAACTTTTGAAAGAAGTTTTTTCTGGCTTGAATTAAAAGTTTTAAAAGCATGATGCTGGTGATGGATATTTTGAAATGGGTTGGTTTGTTTTCATAGAATCGCAGAACAGCAGAGTTGGAGGGGGCCAGGAAGACCATCGGGTCCACCCCACTGCTGTTGCAGGACACCAGTTCACACCATCCCTCTCCAATGGTTGTCCAGTTCCTTTTTGGATGTCTCCAGTGTGGGAGAGCCCACCAATTCTCTGGGCAGCTGGTTCCACTGTCCCATTGCTCTGACAGTGAGGAAATTATATTGTATTGACGGGGGTTGTACTGATTCCCATATTGTTTTTATTTGGATAAACTATGGACTTGAAAGGTCACTAGGACATACGTTAAGCAAAGTACCATAGCTAGTGCATCACTTAGATGGAGACTTGATTATCGTGTTGCTGAAGAGGTCATTCACAAATGGGGCATTTGTTAGCAGCCCCTTGCTGCCAAGTGCCATAAATACTCTGAGCTGTCTTCTCAGTGAAGACCTAAGCAGTGATAACTTGGCATTGTTCACTCGCAAGAATGCAAACTGGGCACTTGCACGGGGGAACACCTCTGCTGAAACCCATTGTTAGCAGAATTAATGCAGGTGCAGCTTGTTGCAAATACATTTTGCCTGCCTCCGTGCTAGCCGGACCCTCTTCATCACCTCCCTCTGCCTGTAGGCTCTTCCAGGGGAAGTGGTGCTCCTAGGCATTGGAGTAGCTTTTTCTAGCAGGGACTGCAGCAACGATGTTTCCTGCCACATTTCCACACGGGGAAGGAGCTCGTAATCCCAGCCCTGCTGGGGGCCTGAAGCACTGCACTCCTGCTATGCTGAAAAAGCAGCCGGAGCATCTGAGTTCTGCTCCTGGAGTACCTTGTGCGCAAATAAATAATCCTGACACGGCCTACAGCTTTAGATCCTTGCTGCTTGAGTGGGATTGTAATGAAGGAAAACAATGCATCGTCTATTCTACTTGGCCAGACTGTGGAACTTTATTCTTCTTTAGTCGTCCTCCTTGGTACAGAGAACTGCAATGCCCTCTTCTTTTTTAGTCTTTAAAAAGGTCTAAAATCCAAACCCACAGCTTTGAGCTCATTCCCCCACATAGTCTACAAAGTGACTGCCCTGCATCGAGCTCCCGTTGAGTGGATGCCACAGAGCTAAGAAACACAACCTACCGCTTGGGAGAAAAAGGAGTCTTCCAGCTACTGGGGGAAGCCATTCGTGTCTGGGGAGGCACGGTGGTTCGCGTGTCGAAACAGAAGAAATCACATCCTTCGAATAAGAAATATCCGTCTGTCTGCCCTGCAAATCTCACTATTGTGCTTGTTTCTCACCCGCCACCGTTCGGTGTTTCTACACCAGTAAAGGAATGGAGGCTGAACCTTCAAGCAGAGATGCCTGTCATGTTAACTGGATCTCTTGGGTCAAATTTTTAGTGAGGCTGTTGGAATTGCTCCAGTTTGCCCCAGCCTGTGATTAAATTCACGCCGTTAAGGCCAACGGTACTGCCAAGCCTCATCCTCTGCTCTTCATTATCCCAAATGGAATCGAATGACAAATCTTGCCAGAAGGTGGAGTGCCGACAAATCTTTCAGATGTCTTTTTAAACTGGAGAAGACGGCAACGAACGTTCCCATTTGCAAAGCAATAGCCCAGCCGCCGCTCGAGGAGAATCCATTTTGCCCAAATTAAGTGCACAAAACCAGAGTAATGCAGCTGCCCCAGAGAGGGCCGGGGGGGGGGGGGCAGCCCAGTCGCTCTCAGCTCTGTCCAAATAGGTCGACTCCACTCTGGAATCAGAGTGTGCTGACGCGTTCCTCCCTGTGAGGGTTGCAGGCGAAGCAGAAAATGAAGCGCACTAGGTTAGATTCCACGGCTTGTCTGTGCATCTCCGCGATGCTGCCACTTGCCCGAAAGATGTGGTGCTACTTCAATTAAACCTTTTGTCACTTTCTTCTGCATTTCATTCACCTGACAAGGAATCGCCAGTTTATTTTTGAAACCTGCTCCAGGAGACATTCAGTGGTGGTGACTCTTGAATTCCAATGAGAGAATACAGCCTTCCGCATCTGGTGCTCCCCAGGTGTTTGTGACTATATTTCCCAGTATTCCTGACTATCAGCCATGCAGGCTGGGGCTGATGGGGTTGGAGACTCCAAACATCAGCAGGTTGCAAAGCTGAGCCTTCCTGGTCTGTGTGTGAATCACTGTTCATGGGTGTCCTTCTCTTGCATTTTCTTACAGGGTTACTTAAAACAGTGTCGAAAGAGAAGAGACATGTTCAGTGATGAGCAGATGAAGATCATCTTTGGCAACATTGAGGACATCTACAGGTTTCAGATGGGCTTTGTACGGGACTTGGAGAAGCAGTACAACAAAGAGGATCCCCACCTCAGTGAAATTGGGCCGTGTTTTCTGGAGCATGTAAGTGTTTCTGAATGAAAGCAGCTTGAAAGGGAGAAGTCCTTCCATGCTTGCCTTTGCAGGCCTCTTAAAGGCCCCCTTCACTCTCAGGCACACAACCCTGCACTCAGTTTTCTACGGTGTGTCCCCACATGGCTGGAGCACCTGTGGTTGCCTCAAACTCAGGAAGAGATTTCGAGAGCTGTCTTAATCTTCTTCCTAAGCAAAAAGCTATGCTAACTGCTAACAGGGAAGGTTGAAAGAGTCACTTGTCCAGCCAAGTAATGGATATTCCTCGCTGGGGGCTGGCCTCCAGAGGAGGAGCTGGGAGATGACTCGGGTACATCACTGGCAAGGTGGAAACTCCCAGCACCTTGGACAGTGCCCTGCAGGAGCTGCTCGGGTAGCTTCTCAATCAAGGGGCTGTTGCGTACCCAGCGAACAGCAGCAGCTGGAGGCCTGGGAAAGCCTGCAGGTAAATTCATATGTGCTCCCAGGCCCAGTTCCTGCGCATTAGAGAGCAGTCAGGGGAATGGCAGGGTGGGAGGTTGATTTAACTTTACAGCATTGAAGGGGACTGAGACCAGCAAGCTGACCTGACCCAGATGTCTTGGTAGGGGTCAAAGTGTCCTTCTGCTTCAGTTCCGTCTTCTGAACAAGGGACAGGTGTGGGAAATTCTGCCCCATTTTCCACATCAGGTTGCAATACTTTGGTTAAAAGTTTGCATGGTAATTCATATGCATATCTCCCCAGATATGCATTTCATTACATTTCTCCCACTGTAATTCATTTTTCTGCATTTTCTGTATTATCTACTTTTGGCATGTATTTTCCCCCATCCCATTCCCCCCACCGCTCAACACACAATGTCTTGCGTTGGGGTAGAACTGAAGCAGTTGGGAAGGTACTGCTTGGTTCTCACAGGAACACCCATGGACCTGCTTGGTCCCACTGGACGCTGGGAGCTTTTTGTGGCCCCTCACATCTGGCGGCAGCTCGGACAGCAGTTCCTGCAGCTCAGAAGGACATTTCTCTGCAACCGATTGCAGCAGCCCCACGTCCATTGACTTTCCCCAAACCAAGGAAGGTTTTCCAATGGCTGCCGACGTGCTTTCAGATCATATGGATGATGAGGCATACTGCTTTCACCTGCAGGAGAATAATCAATATTCTTCTCCAATCGCATGCCAGTGGCGTGAAGTGTTCACTGCTGTTGGAGTGGGAATGGATTTACCTGATCAACAGGGGGCACATATGGAAACTCTGAGCGGCCGGAGAAAAAGACAGAAACCATGGTAGGACTCAGGGCTGGGCAGCATCTCACTGGGAACCTGCCAGTGCCCAGATGCCAGGAGGGGCTCTTTGACAGCCCCCAGCGCCTCCTGACCTTGCTCCTTTCCCTCTTCGCTACTGCTTCCTGTTCAACACCCATCCACAAACCTTGTCTTCTGAGAAAGGGCTGGAGGAAAGGCACACAAGTAGGCGATAGGAGCGCAGAGGAGAAATGGGAGCAGGAAGTCTCCACCACAGCATTTCCCCAAGGACTTCAGAACCTGGCACTGGTGCTGGCCAAACTTCCTCTTTGGTAACAGCACTAAAGGTACCATGCCAGGAAGAGCCCCCAGCCATGGGCGAGGTCTCTCCCCCAGCACCCGCCTTCTCCCCTGCCCTTGAAGCTCCTTTCTCTGCCTGTTTTGCCCCTAGCAGGGCTAGGACTTCCTCACACTCTTCTCTCCTTTGCCGCTGCTGGTGGCCCTCTTGCTCCATCTTGGCTCCATCTTGGCTCCATCTTCTATCAGTTATTTTAAGAGATGTTGACCACAGCTGTGATCAGCTTCCTGGCACTCCCCGTTGCAGGATCCATGAACCCAGCGATGAGAGCATGATGAGTAGGGATGCCTTAGAAACCTGATCTTTGCAGCTCTCGACATGGCCTGACCTCATCAAACCTCTCACACCAACGCAGGGATCAAAACTCCGGCAGGCGCCAGGTTTCCTGCTTCTCTGGCCATTGTGCCGCAGCACTGAGCACTTTATTTGAGGGAAAATACATTGAGAAATGCATATTCTGCTTTTAAAAGACCTTTCAAATACATCTTTCAAATTGCAGATGGATTATGCCGGGGATTTGTCAATTAGCGCAAAAGTGGGACAGAACAGACTTTATGGGTGAAACAGGGGAAAATAGCACAGAAGAATGGAAGCAGGCAGTTTTCCTCATCCCTGGTAATGCTGTGGAGTAAAATTGCGAGCCGGGCAGTGCGGCTTAGCAGGGGGGTTGCTTATTGCCTATTGTTACCTGATGGAACTGGATGTTTTTGTGTACTGTTGTTAGACACCTTGGGAGCTTAGTGTGGGAAGGTGGGAAGGAATATGTAACGGCAGCAGTGGGGCACTGGCCCAGCAACCTGGAGGGCTGCTAAATGGCAGCACTGCTGATGGCAACACCGTGTGTGTGTGTGTGTGTGTGTGAGAGAGAGAGAGAGAGAGAGAAAACTTGGAATTATGGTGATGCGCATTGCACAGTGAGACTCCAGTTCTGCCCAGCATCCTTTCTCCAGCAGCCCCCTTTGGGAATGAAGACAATGGGCGTGAGACGAGCGCTTCTCTGTGGCACATCCCAGGCACACCTTCAGGGCTTCTGTTTTGCTTGGCTTTTGGGGTATGGAAACATATTCTGACAAGGGCTGCTGCCTGCACTGCTATTTGGGGGTTCTTTGGGATGCCAAGCAGCCCTGTTCCTGCCGTTGCCTGGGAAGGTGTGGGGAGAAGACAGGAGGAAAGGAACTCACGCCTCTCCTTCTCTCCCTCCCCTTTCCCTGTCATTTCCCAAAGGGCAACCAGCTGGTGTCGGAGGTACCGTCCGGCGCCAGCATCAAGGGTGGTGGAGGCACCCGCTGGGGTCATTAGGCCAGGGAGCCTGGAGACAGCCGTCCTCACCCCCAGTCTTCATTCCCCACCCCTGCTTCACCCCCTCTGTCACTGTGCCTGCTACGTAAGACACGCGCAGTGCAAAGGGCATTTTAGCTGACCACGGTGGCTCTCAGAGACGCCAGTCCGCCTACCCTCGCCTGTTACATAAGCCACGCTCTGTGGGAGCTGATAAAATGGCCAGTGTTGTAAATATGTCAGGAAATGTCAAGAAAATCATGCAGCCTTGCTTTTTAAACTTTTCCTTGAGGGAGAAAGAAAGCACTCTCTTGATGCTTATGTAAGAGGATGCCACTATTCAAGATGTGGGAGCTTTTTAAATATAGCTGCATTACTTTTTTAGTTGCAGGTTGGTTGGGCCATTTTTCACACCAGCAATATCAGAGAATGTAATTCTAAATGATCGCGGCGCATCAATAGAACGCCATTAAAGCCACGCGCGTCTCGTACAGCATCTCGGGCCAAAGTGCCTTAGATTTCCCAGTAGTTGGTTCTGTTCCATTTAAAGGCAGCAGGAGCCGTGTGTTTCTCTGCTGTTGAAGCAAAAGTTATACTGATGAGTGAGCAGGCTTTAAAAAAATGCAGAGGAAAGGAGCAGAACTGGAAACTGTCACGATGCATCTGTGGATGTGATCACTTTGCTCCAAGCAGGGCTTTCACCACTAAGGTCAGAAAGTTAAATTTCGGCTGTCAGATGCCAGAAGGAGGGCAGAGGGGGCAGGGAAGAGTTGGCAGAGCCACCCAAGAAAGGAGATTGAATGAGGGGAGAGGTGGAGAAACCTGCAAGAATTGTGCAGGGTCTGCTGAGCTGAGAAATTTTCTTATCATTATGCAGAGCAACCCTGGCATAAACCGAAATCCCGAACCACAACTGAGTCCCTTTCTGCTTTTAACTTATGGCAAAGCCTTGCCCAGCACAGTATCTGCCAGATATTTTGGACTACAACTCCCATTAGCTGCCACCAGGATAGGGCCGGGAAGGTGAGAAGTTGTAGTCTAATGTGAGTGTAAGGGGGAAAATGTACTGTAACATTTAAAGCATAAGTGTTATCATCTCCCTGTTGCCTTTGAAGAGGTACACACACTGTCTGGCCTGATATGCTTCTTTTACTTACCGTATTTTTCGCTCTATAAGACGCGCCTGACCATAAGACGCACCTAGTTCTTAGAGGAGGAAAACAAGAAAAAAAAATATTCTGGATCACATGGGCACATAATCACGGGCACATTCCCCATCACTTCCCCATGGGCTGCACATCTGACAGACTTGCTGCACACACACATTCGCTCTGTAAGACGCACAGACATTTCCCCTTTCTTTTGAGGGGGGGGGGAGTGCGTCTTATAGAGCGAAAAATATGGTATATGTTGGGTTTACATGAGCAGAGCCGGCTGGAGCCAGGGTCAGACAAGGTGGCCCGGGAGACCCCTTCCGACTGGCTCTGTTTCTGGGCACGCTGGTTCCTGATATTCCGTCACTTCCTGAAGAACATAAGGAAGCCTTATGGTGAACGGGTTGGGATAAAAATCTAATAACTCAATAAATGAAATAAATAAACATGATGAGAGACTGGAGGTGACGGCCAAAGGATCAGCTTCGATCCCTTGATCACAAAGGAGGAAGGGAAAGTCCTACTTTTTCTGCACAGTGCATAATTGTGTGCGACCCTGTCCCTTCTCCCTTTATTCATTCCTTTTTAAAGCGAAGCCATCTAAGCATTGTCACTTCTCTTGATAGGCGAGTTGATCATTTTGGTTTCCCATTAGCAGATGGACTGTTGGCATGCTTCAGAGGTACAGTTCGTATACCCAGGTACCTCTGGGAATGCTGCTGGAGGCACTATTATGTAGCGTTACTTTATGAGGCAGTCTCTTCGCCCTTTATGGGGCTGTGGAACATACGTTGATTGTGATGGTCAGGGGAAGAGTAGTTGCTATTTACATCATGTCTTATGAAACTCCCTCTCTCCCTCCTTCTCTTTTGCATCTTCCTGCTTCTACCTCCTGCAGCAAGATGGCTTCTGGATCTATTCAGAATACTGTAACAATCACCTGGATGCATGCATGGAGCTCTCTAAGCTAATGAAAGATGGCAGGTACCAGCACTTCTTTGAAGCATGTCGTCTCTTGCAGCAGATGATTGATATTGCTATTGATGGCTTCCTTCTGACACCTGTGCAGAAGATCTGCAAATACCCCTTGCAGCTGGCAGAACTGCTGAAGTACACTGCACAGGAACACAGGTAGGTCAAGGCCCTCTGCGCATTGTGGGAAGGTTCAAAGGCAGCTCCCTAGCATGGGAGTAGCTGGACAGAAGGTGGCCCTGAGGTCCCCTTTCGCTGCTTCCCTCTCCCCTCACTTCTTATTTCCCATTTGGAGGTAGCTCTCCCTTTTCTCTTCCATATGTTTGGATCACAGCAGTCATTATCCTTCCCCATTGGCTATATTGACAGTTTTTGGAGTTCCAATGCTCTGGAGAGCACCCAGTTGGATAGAGCTGTTGTAAAATCTCTGTCTTGCTGTTCAGCTATTGGGGATGCAAGGAGAAATAACATGGAATCACACCACTGGAACAGGCCTAGAAGGCCATCATGTCCAACTCCCTGCTCAACGCAGGACTTGAGTCTCCCATCCAGATTCTAGCAAGGCCTGACCCTACTTAGCTTCCAAGATCAGGAAGCTATATCATGAAGTTCGCTATTCTGGATAGTGTGTGGTGTGTTTTGCATTGCTTGCCTACTTGCCTTGGCTACTTTGGTGCAGAAGGACAGGGAAGGACTGTAGCTCAGTGGCAGAGCCCCTGGTCTGCATGCAGGAGGTTCCGGTTCAAGCCAGGTAGGGCGAGGAATGACTTCAGCCTGAAGCCCTGCCCAGCTGTTGCTGCCATCCCACGCCAGCAGTGCCAGGCTAGGAGGACCAAGGCTGTGTGACCGCTTTTGATGTTCCTATGATGGTGAAATTTTTTGCTTCAGAGATACTCTCAATGAGCAGAAATAGCAGAGGGGGCTGTACCAGGACATCTGAGCCCCCATTCATCAAATCGAGCTAAGACTTGTCCAGAGATTTATTTCATGTAGGTACTTTTACTACCTATGGCAATGATTACTTCTTCGTCTCCCTGCTGTGGGCGTTGTCTGCCCAAGGTGACACCTGAGGCTTTGGGTTAGGAGCAAGATTTCTGGCAGTCCAAGTTAGCACAGGGTCGGTTGGCCCGGTGCCCTGCCGTCCTCATCAACTCCTCAAGCCCTGGGAAGATGCCTCGACTGCCCATCGGGGAGCCATTTCGTGCCACTAATCTGTGAGGCCCAGCCAAATGTCCTCCAACATTTCTCATCAGCGGTTTTGCTAGTTCAGTGGCAGCCGCAAGTCCCGTTTCTAAATACTCGTCTTATTAATGAATGGATTGGGGTGTGGATAGGAGACACATGGCTCATAATGCTTCCTCTAAAAATAAAGCATGAAAATGAGGGAATTAGGCTGTGTCTAGATGTTGAGCATATGTGACTGCTATTAAAACAGCCCCCTGGGTTGTCCCTCCAGCTCTGCTTACTGCTAACTAACTGTTAATAATAATGTTAACCATAATAACTGCTCGTGCCCACTGCCTGGGTGTGTGTGGCATCATGACGTGATGCTCCAGGGTCCCCTACCTTCACAAATAGCATCCCAGCTGCCATTTATGTATCACCATAAAAGAGGACAGAAGGATGCAGCTTTACACAGCCTTTGCCCATGCACAGACTCAAGTTTAGGGGGCTGATACTGCAATTTAAAAGGTAAATAGAGTCCAGCGGAGCAGACTATGGGCTGTTGGCCTTCGTGCCCCACTCAGCCCACTTGTCCAGGTGCTAACTCTGGACGGGCAACTTCCATGCCCCCATGGCTCCCCCTTCTTGCTGCTTTTTAAATTAGGCAACCCTTCCACCAGAGGAAGCGGGGGTCCTCAGACTTTTTCACCGGGGGACCAGTTGCAAGGTGCTGGTGCTGGGTGCGGGCTGAAAAGGTGGTGCTGGCGGTGCGTGTGGGCCAGTGTGGGGGCCGGGCCGGTGCGTGCAGGTGCGTTGAGGTGGGGTGGGGCCTGCAGTGGGGCTAGGCGTGGGCACACGCCACGAGGCGGGCGCACGAGGCAGCGGCTTGCTTGCTTGGAGATCATTTTCTCCGAACGAGCAAATGGCTGCCTCCCCACACGCGGGGCGAAATGGATGGCGAGTGCGCGCATGGGTGCGGGTGTGCGCACGGCAGCTCCAAATGGGCTTCGCGGGCTGGATCCGGCCCCCAGACCATAGTTTGAGGACCCATGAAATAGAGGATCGCTCCTTGACAGATCTTTGGAGAGCGAACAGCCTGAATGAAGTTACCAGGCCTAGGTTCTGCCTTTGCCCACCCCCGAAGAGCCGTTGTGCTTCCGCCCTACCGACTCCAGAGCAGTCCAGTCCCTTTTTTGCTTCTGTGGACTCCTCTGCCACAGGGACGTTGGCCCTGGCTCCCAGTAGAACGGGGTGCGGAACCCCTGGCAGCCCCAGAGGCAGCTGCCATTGTGGAGAAGCTCTCGGGGGCCACCCCAAGGAGCAGCGGAATCAGAGGCCAAAGGGGAGGGGCCAAAGCACCCCCTTTTCATTTAATGTCACTGGCCTGCATTTGTTCTTCCTCTTGGCACGGCAAACTTTTAGTGCAGGAAGAAACTACACCTAGCTGGGAAAGTACAGAAAGTGGATGGGCCAGGTGAAGCCCACCTGAGGGCAAACTTTGGCCCCTGGCCTGAGCCACCCTCTCTCCATCCTTTGCCTTCTCCACTTCTGGCTGCCGCACCAGCACCAGAGCCGAGCCTCCCTTGCTCGGGAGTGAGCCCCCGCCAGAGTGCCCTTTGCCACCCCCTCCGCTGCCGAGGGAACAAATCCAGGAAGAACAGAAGAGATGGTTTGGCAGGAACAAGCATGTCCTTTCAGAGCCATAATGATGCGTGGGAGCGCTCCAGGTGCTCGTAGGAGGCCAGAGTAAATTTTGTGCTCAAATGAGCAACTCTTTTAACACTGAAATGTACACAGAACAGTTCGCTTTGGGCACATTTAGAGATCCAGCAAAGATGCCGTTAGTGGCCACAACCATTCTATTGTTCCAGAAATGCTGCTGATTAGTCAACGATAGGTGAAAGTTCAATGGCGGGTGTTTGAACTTGCGGGTTCTTCTGTGAACCGACCTGGTGTGCACTGGCAGATCTGAACTTAAGCCTTCACCAGAGCCCACACTTTTCTGGACACTGCAAAACAGTTTTCAGTTGTTTGAACATAGCAAAGTGTTTTAAGATGGGTATTTTGAAAGAGCTTGAAGGATATTTCAATCAAAGTGAACCAGAAAGAGTGATTTGGTGTAGCCAAGATGGAAGAGCGGCTGGCAGCGTTTCTCTGCCTAGATTACAGATGAACAATGTACATCGTATGCACAACAGGGTGAGCTTTGCCACGTAGTGCAATGGAGATTGGGCCCATTGCACTACTTTGCTTTACCGAGCAAGTTCGGATTTGTTGTTGGGTCTGGGTTCCTAGCTTGGTTGGTTTATTTCCTTTCAGTCCGAGTTGCCCATTTGGCTATAGCAGGGCTTTTGAGCTGAAGACAAACCAGAATCTTCACTGCAGAATGTCTTTCTCTGTCAAGACTGTGCCCGAACAACTGTTACATTCTTGTCTTGCAAGGGCACTGGCCCTCTTGTGCAGAGTGGATAGCCTTGAGCCTGGTTAGCATGGGCCATGTCCAGGTCTGCTGGGGGTGGGGCAGCTGAAATCTTCTGGGGGGCTGTTGGGGAGGCATTTCCTGGACCACCCCTCTGCCTGGAGCAGCGTGATCCCATGAAATGAGAATGCAGCAGGCGGGCGCAACATCAGCCAGCAAACAAGGAGTGCCTTGCTTAGCAGGCCTCTTCATTCTTCTCATTAGTCAGCAGTCAATATTAAGCCCAGAGTTAATCATAAATTAGGGTGGCACTGATGCAGCAGCAGGCCTGGACTGCCTCTCCAGTTGAAATCAGCAGTAAGGTCTCAGAATGGGAAGGTAAGCGCAAGTCAGGAATCGATAGCATTGATTCCAGCATCACTTTTCCAAAAGACTGATCATTATCCTGGCCGGCCCTGACAGGAGGCCCTTTTCTTCCATGGTGTGTGCACACACATGCAAGAAATTGCTTTGTCTGCCTAGATGGCTCCCAGGCACTCCCGTCTGCGGCGGCTTTGAGGGAAATGCTGCATGGCCAAATGTTGCACGGCTCCACAAATGACCTGGAACTGCCGGGGCCCTTCTCTCCCATCTTCAGGGGCTCCTGGATCGATTGCTCATTGTGCATTCCCTGTAAGCTTTGAGAGAGAACTCTGCTTGGGAGTCAGAGAATAGCCTCCTGCCCGGGGTGAGCAATTCACGGCCGGCTAGGATGGATGGAGGAGAGTGTGGAGCACAGTGCCTACGCTCAGGATTAATCCATGACATACCAAGATAAAAAGTTCATTCCATAAATGATGGAAAAGGCCTCAGCTGCTTGAGTGCCACTGAGAATGCTCTCTGGGGATGGGAGAGAAATGGTTTCAGTTCGTGTTTTAATGCAAATTTATCTAATGTCATGTTTCTGAACTCAATATGCAGACTGAAATTACATTATCCTTCAAAATCCTACTCTGGATTTTGCAGTGGTGTACTCCAATAAAAATGTGTACGAAAATGCAGCATGTTAGGACACTTGCTTATAACAAACGTGCATATTAGGAAAATGCATGTCTTAGGAGAAGCGTGCCCAATACTGATGCATTAACTTCCCAAACTTCTGGATGATCTGAAGGTAAGCTAAGATGATCTCAAGGTCCAGTCTCAAATTTAAGAGTGGAAAAGAGAGGTCTCAGAGAAACAGAAGTGGATGGATTCACCTCTAAATACTGGGTTAAATGAGCTAATTCTCTAAATTTGCACAACCGCTTTCTAAGTGTATCTTTTAAAATTTCCATTCTGCAGTTCATATGTAATGTTACAGGCTCCTTTCTTTCTTTCTTTCTTTCTTTCTTGTTTGCTTGCTTGCTTGCTTGCTTTTTCTGCCCAGTGATTACAGGTACGTGGCTGCAGCCCTTGCAGTTATGCGGAATGTGACTCAGCAGATCAATGAGAGGAAAAGGAGACTGGAAAACATTGACAAGATTGCTCAGTGGCAAGCATCAGTTCTGGACTGGGAGGTATGTGAAGCGTGATATGATCATTTTCTTGTGAGTCTTGGGGGATGCTTCATAACTTGCCAGGCATCGTTCTCCCGGCAGCTGCCCATTGGTTTTGCATCGCATCCATAGCTTAGTGGCAAATCCCATCTGTGAAATCCAGTCCAAGGAAGACTGGGTGCTCTTAGAAAGGGCTTTTCTCCCTCAAGTCCAAAGAGGCTTTGGCAGTATGAAGCACGCTCTTCACCAGCTGGGGCAGGTTAGCGCTGCTAATCTTTTTCTTCTCCATATCCAAATCCTCCTGCTCACGTGCTTTGGTGGGCTCTTGATTTGACCACTGCAAATACTTTGTGCTTGGTGTTGCTTTCAGAAACTTCTTGGAAGCATCCATCCTTTACAGCTACTTCCGCCACAGCTGTTAGGGTCTCCCCCCGCCTTTCTACAGCTCTGCCAACATACTCAAGGCAGTGAACTGCTCAGGACTTGGGACACAGCTGCCCTCAAAAACATTGGCCTTCCTGCGTCTTCTGCTGAAGCCTTTCCTCTGAGCTGCATGTTGGGCAAGGGAGATGATCTTCTCCAGCCCTAGACACTCCTTCCCCACAGCATGGCTGGCATCTCATCTGCTCTCGTTTCCATATCTAACAGCGTTGTCCTTCCTCTGCTGGTTTTGTTGCGCTTCAAGAGCAATCATGTGGGCAACAAGATTTATCCATCCAGCTATCCGTCTGTTTTACTGCATTTGTATAAAAACTGCCTGTCAGCATTATGCTCCTGAGAGAGAGCAGGAGGACTCATTTCCAGATCCAGACGGGGCTACAGAGTACCCTCCTCTTCTCTGACCTGCCCTTTTCCAGGAACTGGCATTTCCACTTGTTTTGGTGTATTTTTTGAGAGCAAAAGTGGTGGGCCCCATGAGTACAACGGGCAATAGAAGACTACCCCCTGTTCCCCCAGGCCTTCAGCTACCTCTTATATGCGGTATAGCTCACCCTGCCATTCTGAAGGGATTTAACTGCTCTTTTTAAACGCGTGCAACGGTTTCTGTCTCAGGATGCAACCCGGTTGTCTCCTGGCATCCTCTAAAGGCCACAGGATTCTTTGGAGGCCAAGCTGCTCCAACAGCCAAGAGCTGTCCCGCTCCCTGTCAGCATGGGAAGGACCTTGCGGGCTGCCCTCCTCCAGGGGCACTACCACAAGGGGCAGGGAGAGGAGGCGGCTAGGCTGGGGCATTGGGCCACTCCGAGCTAATGCCTCTTTCCGCCCCCTCAGCAACCCAAAGCTGAATGGCGGAAGGGCTGTCTGCACTGAGTGCTCCCAACCCTCTGAGTTCGGAGGCTGAGGAGCATCTGCCAGAGGGCGCTGGAGGGAGTCCTTAATGCCTTCAACGTGTTCGATCCAGACATCCTATTTTGAGCTGGCTCCTTAAAATCAATGGGACCTGAGAATCCCATTTATTTCAGTGGGTCCACTCTACCTATGACTAATTTTTTGAAAAATCTGTATTGCAAACTGTCCTGGAAGAGATATTCTGCAGAGCAATGTATAACTCTATTTTTATATTTCATAGAAAAAACATTAATGTTGTTTCTTTATGTTTTTGTCCTAACTAAGGACACAAACACATCTGGAATAGTGTTTCATAGATATGGTGAAAAGGAAAAGAGTATTTCCATCCTGTTACATAATTGTCGGAATGACCAGGTACATATAATGACCGTACTGTTGGCATGGTTATGGGCAGCCATTTTCACTCCTTCTCTCCCACGGGGAAAAGCGCCAGAGGCTCCCTCGCTTTGTTCCCCCAGTGCAACTTCACTGCTGGCAGCTGTGAGCCATGCAGGGGAAACACCACGTGGGCCTCCACAACCACGCACCTCAGACTGCCAGGTGGGCGAAGGCACGAGGGCAAGGAGGAATGCAGCCCCGAGGCTGCAGAGCAATCCTGAGGCGCTGAAGGGGGCAGAAGGCACTGGAGCAGTGCTAATGTTTGCTGAGGTCACACCGTCGATTAGATAAGTGAGCTGCCTGTATTGATTGCAAAGATAGTATCAGCCGTAGTGCCTAGTCTGTGTGTAGTCCTTTAAATGAGCATCGAGCCACCAGAATGCTGGCTCACCGTGTGCGCTGATTCTGGCCTCCTGAAGGAAGAAGCTGAACAAAATTAGAAAAGACTCGGGAGGAGGGGAGCTCTCAAGATCAGGATCTTGCCACAGGAAGACAACCTGTAGCAGGTTGCAAAGAAGAATGTGGGGCAACTTTGGTCCAAAACATCTGGAGTCCACCAGCTCCCCTAGCTGCCCTTTCCCCAAGGCAGAATCTGATAGGCTCAGGTCACTGCCACTCAGACTTGAGGAATGCCTTTAATCTAACAGGGTGTGCTGGATTACACACCTTCTCTGGCAACCTCCTCTGGCCAGCGGCCACCAAAGCATTTTCCTTACAGGCATTGCTGCATGGCATTCCTCTACGGCGGGACCGCCATTATTGCCTGCCGGGGAGTCATTTGTGGGGGGCCAACTTGGAGGTCCAGGCAGTGCCAGCGCTCTCTCCAGGGAGCATTTCCCACTTCTCAGTCAACTCTCCCTTTCCTTGCGGAAGTTGGACTACAACCATCCATGTTTTCTGGACATTCTGTGCAGCTGCTCAACAGAGAAGGTGCTTAATCTCCTCCATGCTGGCCCCAAAATGGTTCTCTGAAGCTTAGATGCCTTCACCTGCTAACCATTCGGATTTGGCCTCCTCCAAATTACGTCCTTATTAGCCGTTCCCCTCATTCTCTGAGGTGTCTTTTTGGCACTTTCCAGTAATATTGCATTCACTGAAAGATTAATAACTGTAGGAAAATATAATTGGTACTGTCCTTTTAAATTTCTTCTAGCTCACATTCATCCCAGTTATTTATGGATCCTCTAATGGAAGCCTCTGCGCCCTTAATTATGTAATGTATGAGAACCGGCTGCCACGTAATGTTGCATTATTAAATCCAAAGGCTGGCATGAATAAAAATATGATGCAGGCAGCGCAGCACCCTGTTTTCAAAGCAAGATCTGACTGATGAGAGATGCCCTCTTGGGGGAGGGAGGAATTAACACCGGGGAGCACAGGGAGAGAAGGCGCTCTGTGTTTCGCCACCACCCCTTCAGTGACAGAAGGCTTTAAAAATAACACTGATGAAAAGGAAATTTCTTTTCATTCTGATCTTTCCATCACCCAGAACATTAATGACACAGCCACTCATTAACGCATGGGATCATGGATCACAGGAAGGGTTTGCTTTGCTGAATAATGCAGCGAAAAGGGAAAGAGTCTCTCTGCCTGGGAGAAGAGCCCTGGTTTCATAGCCGTTGTCCTCAGCATCTTGGTCATTTTATTATTTATTTATTAAAACATTTTTATGCATGGGAGAGGAGGACTATCTGCTCTTCTGCCAGCTTGTGTCTTCTCTTTCTTCTGCTCTTCTCTGGGCCATTACCGCATGACCTCTATGGCGACCACCTCGCCGCCTGGTCATGCAGAGGCAGAGGAGGGAGAATGACGTTGCCCCGTGGTGCTTCCATGATTGACAGCTTCCCTCAGCAACAACGACATGAACCTCTGGATCTCTGTGTGTCGCTTCTGCCAGGCCCTCGGCCCCCAGGGAGCAGGGAGCATGAGCCTTGCTAGGAAACGAGCGACGTACTGTTCCCCCTCCTGGTGCACATGCATGCTCCTGGCCTTCCAGAGGAGCACTTGAGGAAGATGCCATTAAGCAGACCTGTGGAAAGACCTCATGCATGCCTGTGAGGCCAGCATCAGTCCTTCATGTTGGACCAGCCTTCCTCATTGGACAGAACAGACAGCTATTGAAAAGAGATTGGGCTCTTGGGTGGGAGAGTGGTGGTGGTGACAATATTTTGGGTAGGCTTCTCAAGCTTGGGGTCCTCAAGATATGTAGGCCTACAGCCCCATGATGGATAGGGCTGATGAGCATTGTAGTCCAAAATGCCCAGAGGGGCCCAAGTTAGGCAAGGCATCCTTAGGACAGATGTATGCTGTTATTTTCCCAAGCCTAGTTGCTCTTCTAGGCGCATTGTTTTGCTCACTCAGTTCTAGGTATCATTCCTACAGATGTCAATTGGATTTTGCCCATTCACAGCTGCTAAGAATAACCATTGCCTAAATCCCTTTCCTTTCCTTTAAATACATGTTCCTTCTCAAATTTCCTAGGAGATGTGGCGAGAACCCAGTACCTTCTGAGCGTAGCACTGACCTCCCTAGGGAGGTGGGCGGGGGAAACAGGATGTTTTTAGGTAGCGCACAGCTTCTGGGTCAAGGAGATAGAGGACTGTGTGTTCTAGCACAATGCTTGCAAATATATAACCACAACGGATGGCCCAGGTTTCTTCTGTCCTTAAATGAACTCTGGTCTTTCGTAGCTTCCTAGGCACTGTGCGAGAGCCCCTGTGAAAGGCATTCAATGGGCAGAGGGTGAAAGGTGGCTTGGCTTGGATTGTCCTTAGTTGAAGATGCTAGGTTGGACCTAGATTTATGCTGAATCAGCTGTACAGTTGGAATTACACCTCTCCAACCCCCTGAAAATGCTATACCCTATTTGAACACTTAAGTCAAATTAGGATCCGACATTCAAAATTCAAACAGGATGGAAATGGCCCATTCATTTACAGGTATTGGCTAATACCCCTTCAACTCTTGAATAATCCACTGGGGAAGATTAGAGAGAGAGATAAGAAGCAGAATGCATCTATTTATGCCCATCTTTTGTAGAATCACTCTGGAATTCGTGATAACTGTGCCAGTAACTTTCCTCATGTTCTCCATGTGCTGCAAGGATTTTCCAAGAAGACCCTGCTGTCAGATGGCCCACAGTCTCCCCATGTAGCATGATAATTTATCCTTCCACCTTTTTCATGTCCTGTAGGGGGAGGATATCTTGGACCGCAGCTCTGAGTTGATCTACACAGGAGAGATGTCCTGGATTTATCAGCCTTACGGACGAAGTCAGCAGAGAGTCTTCTTCCTTTTTGATCACCAGATGGTTCTTTGCAAAAAGGTAATGAAATGGTCAGTCCCAGATTGTTTCATCGATTGACTGAGAGGGCCTTCTTTTGGGCCAAAGGCCCCTTTCACAAAAATGTTTGGAATGCACATCAGGCAAAATTTACTCGACCCATGTCTCTTTTCTGAGCAAATAACACAGAAAGTTGCTGTTGCCTTCTGACGGAGTGTTGAGCCAGGAAGGTCTTAATTAGATGGTTACTTTTGTCGTGGACTCACTGGGTAGCCCAGGTAAGCTGCTGTTCGCCTCTAGGCCCCCACCCCCCAAAATTTGGGTAGCCCAGATCAGCGCCCGTTCAATCGATATTCAGTATTCATTTTAGCCCTGCAAAAATTAGTTTGGCTTCCAACATGGCTTGCAGATCCTTTGAAAAAACATTTTCCTTTGAATCACTACTTTGAATATTAGAGAAGTAGTGATTCATGTTCTGTTCATTTCCAGGCTGGGTTACTGGAAAGTTTTATATGCAGCGCTACCCTTGAAAATAGTTGGAAGTTCAACTGGTACCAAGTTTGGCTGCTAGAATCCAAGCGCAGATGTACTGTACTAATTCCTAAGGAATTCCATTGGTTCTATATTTGCTGCTGAGCCCAGTTCAAGTTCTGGTTCTTACTTTTAGGAATGTACAAGAATTTTGTTCCTGCTCAGAAAAAATGCCTTGTTTTAGCAAGCAGAAGAATACATCTGGTTAAAGTGTTTGCAAAGGATCAGCCATATGCATGCATTCAGTTTGCACACATTTCCTCTTTTGATTTTGTGTACATTTCAAAACTGCTAATCCATATTAACTAATATGGATCAGCTCCCTTTTGCAAGTGCAATTAGCATGAAGCTTATGGCAAGTAGAACAAAATTTATGTCTTGATCTATGAGGAATATTTGCCAAGTGTTAGAATTTCTGCACAACTTTTACATTCAATTCCTCTTGGCACAATTTTTCCATTTGTCCTAAATGAACAGTGGTCACAAATATTAGCACAAATCAAGGATTGAAGAGCAGCGAGCTGATATTCAGAGAATCTTGGTAAGCTTGGACACACCTACTTGTAAAACCCTAAATGAGACTGTGCCCAAATACTTCAGTATCTGAAAGACCGTATGTTCCCATGATGTCCTTCTCGTGCATTAACATCTCTAGGCTTCGTTGTTGAGAGAGGTACGTTATGCAGTTACAGAAGAAGCCTCTATGGAGGTTCCTCGGCCTTATAATCCCCTCCCAAAGCAGGCATCAAGGGCATCAACACTGATTTTTAGCATCAGGTCAGGAGCTCCTGATTTGCTGGGGTGCTCATGCCTTTCAGAGTTATTCTGTTACGTGTGTACACAAACAATGTACACACCCCTGGGTTCCCATGTGGATCAAGAGTAGTTTAGAGGGCTATTTTAAAAAAAGGATTCAAAATAAGAGCAGAATAAAAATGTTTGACAGGTGACATGATGAGCCCTTCTGTTTTTAAAAGAGTGTGGTTCAAGAGTGCATTTGAGATGAGCAAGCAAGATAACATTTAGAGAGCATAATCCGTCGCTTCCGTGAGTGAGATGGATGTGACCAAAATGAGGTGGCAGTTTCTGTGGGGGATTCAGAATGTCATTTATAGTGCTGGATGAGGGGAGTTGGTACTTTCTAACACAGCTCGATTAAGGTTTGGGATGGGGGTGGGATGGGGGTGCGATGCACTGGCAGCCGATCGGATCAGGACACAATGGAAGCATCCTCTGCACTGCCAGGGAATGGGCAGGCTGGGGAAGGCTGGGCCTTCTGATGGAGCGGCTTTGAATCCCTGCTCGTCGCGGCTCCCTTTCATGTCGATGCTTATTAATTTTAATAAGGTCTCTTCTGTCAAGGTGTCAGAAGTTCAGTATCGAAGCCTGCGGGCTGAGCCGGGTGACTCTTTGTGAGGCAAAAGGTGGTCTTTCCAGATGACTCGATTAACTTTGATGTGACAGAACTGGGTTTCACTTGCTCTCCAATTCAGTCCCGGTATGCAAGGAGGGGTGCTTTCAGATGACTCAGTCATCCTCTTGTGCCTGCCCTCAGTGCAGGATAAACACGATGCCTGAATAGTGGCATCATCGTGCTGTTGCGGTGCCGGCTTGCCTGCCTTAAAGAAGCCATGACAGGTTGCCGTGAGTCAGGATACCAGGCCCTGCAAGGCGAGGCTGCTTTTGCAACTTCCACTTGTTGGATTTTGGAGGCCCAAATGCTGGTGCAACTGTTGGCTAAGGAATCCCCCATCCTTCCTGGATTTTAATTTTGGTGTGCAGGCATTTCCTCCCAGTTTTCCCATCCCTTCTTTTTATTTGTGTCATTTGCCCTCCCTGTAGTATCACTAGAAACAGTGCTAGAAAGCAACTCTGGTTATATTGTGCATATGGCGGGGCTGTAATGGCAAATGCTGACCTGCAGGTGTTCATTAAGCAGTCGCCATAGCCTGACCCCCAGAGAGGGTCCACAGCCGTGCCCCCAGGAGACGTGCAGGTGACTGGACTGATGATCCGGCTCCACAAGCAGCAGGAGCCTTTTGCATCTCCTCCAGGAACATGCCTTTGGTGATGAAAATAGGTCTTAATTGCCCATTTAGGACCAATCCACCCCAAAATACTTTGCACTGCTGCTGAATTCCAATATATTGAAATTTATATTCGCCCTGCTGCTATGAAGAGCACAGCTAAGCTCAGAGGGATTCTGGAGAAGGTACATCAGCATCCTTGCAAGCCCTGGCTGTATCAAGATTTCTTTTTCTGAGCAGTTTTATTATTTAATTCCATTCTATGCTGCCCCATAGAACCTGAAGGTTCTCTGGGCAGCTCAGGTTTGCCAGTCTGCAGAACTGTTTCCATATATATGCATTTAAATCTTTATTTACTGCCCCATTCCCATAGGCGCTGGGCAGCTTACACGGCATTAAAACCAACAATGATTAACATTTGACTAAGCACAACATTAAATAAAACTCATCTGGAAACTAATCTGGGAAGGCCTGTCAGAAGAGAGCATCTTTAACTCCCTCCTGAAGGTAACAGTCTGGGATATCGAATGCATCTCTCCCAGCAGGCCATTCCCAGCAGGCCATTTAGGAGCAACCACTGAGAATGTCTTCCGGATAGTTGCAAATGCAAACTTCAGGAGATTATCCCCAGAAGACCTTAGTGAACAAGGTGGAATGTATGAGCAAAGGTGCTCCTGAAGGTATTTTTGACCCAAGCCAGGAAAGGCTTTAGAGGTAATTACCAAGGTGTCTGGAAAGGTATTGGCAGCCAGTGCAGAGACATTAATGTTGGCGACATGTGATCTTTCCTTGATATCCCAGGGACCAGCCTGCCTGCTATGTTTCGTTCTAGTAGCAGTTTCTGGAAGAGGCACAAGGGTAGCCCTCGGTAGACAGCATTGCAGAAATCGAGCCTAGAGGTTGCCAGTGCACCCATAACTGCTTTCCGGTTCCTCTCCTCCAGGAAGGGCTGCAGCTGGCAAATGTGCTTCTGGGTGGTATCAGTCTCCCACCATTTGGTCACCATGAAGTGATGTGTGGCCAGACAGGCACAGATGTTTGTATGCATCGGTGAACCACCATACAAAAAGAATCTTGATACATATACATGCAAAGATCACCTCCAGTGCATCAGGAACCTAAAGGGAGAAAAGAAGCGTTGTGTGATCCAATTCCAGAATTAATTTAGGAAATTAGGAACCTCTGAAGTAGAGCAATGCACAGAGCAAGCCAGTCGTATCTTTTGATCTCTTTTACTCATAGCAAACACAGCAGAAATTCTGCCTTTTAATTTACCGCACCACTTACCCTCCAAAGTATCTCCTTGTTAGATCGTCTTGGGGACAAGCTGAAGTCATTTGACCTTTAATGTTTTTCTTCCAGTGGTAAATAACAATGTCAGTCCCAAATATCTGATTCTGGCAACACAATTCAACTGGGCTAGCTCGATTCTTTATGTTTACTCCAACCACATGGCACAGGCCAACTAGGTCAGAATTCAGCACTCCAAGAAGATCACATTGTTTTTTAAAAGGTTTCTAGGGGTGATGGGATTCTGAGCCATCCCCAGATGTGGAACATGCATCCACACTGTCAGGCAGAGCTTTAGCCTCCTTGTGGCTCCTCTTCCTGACTGGAAAAACAAAATAAAAATATGGTTTACATATTTCAGTTTTTTGTACAGAATTTGAGTTGCTGTGCTGCAGGGCATTGCGCTGTTTTTAGTGGATAATATCCTCAGTCCTGCCCTTGGGTAATGATGTTAAGACCGTCACTCGGTGTCTTACGTTTCTTAGATCCAAGCAAAGACATGGTTGCTCAAAAATGGAATGAACTCTGTCCTACCAGAACATGAGAAGTCCTGCCTATTCCAGTTCTGTGGCTGAAGGCATGAAAGCGTCTGTTTAAGCCTTCCAAAGAGCTCTCTGGCTTACCTTGACATGATGCTCTCAATATATCCAGGGATCCCACTAATACTGATTCAGCTTCAGGCAAAACTGTTAATGGGCTGAAGTGGGCTGGGGGATTTGACAAAGCAAGAGCATAATGGCCAAGTTTCCCTTTCCAGTAGAGGGAACTCTACGCTGAGGGAGTTTTCCAGAGCAGCCAGGCTAACATACAGTCCAGTATGAGGGCAGAGGTCAACTGGTCTGGCTTTGTTTCTCTGGTGGCTTCATGGACCAACAACAAAGATTCTTGAGCACAGTCAAAGGAAACAAACCAGACAGGGAAGAAATTTTTAGCTTCCAGAGCTGAGGAATGCTCTCCCAGAAAGCTGCTTTACTCCAGAATGCCTTAGACTGCTCCTTAGTTGCAGAATCTCACATCATCCAAAAGTTTTGGAAGTCAGAGGCAGCCTTAAACAGGGGAGGGGGCACTGTGAAATGCCGTGCCAGAAGTACCAGCAGATGCAGTGTCTTCACTCTCCCGGAATGGGATTAGTTCAGCACCACGGAGAGCTCCTGCAACTCAGCTCAGTCAGATCAGGGCTTGGTTCCAGCTGTAAGAGATGACTGGAAAAGGAACTTGCCCAAGGAACAAGATGGTGCGGGGCAGCAGAGGTGGTGTCTGAGCATCAAAGCACAAAATGATTCTTCTGAATCCAAATAAAGGCAGCACTGGAAGGCAGCATTTCATTTTGCAACAGGCCAACCTTGCAGTTTTTTTTTTTAATTAAACACATCTTAGGAAATAAATGCATGCCCACAATCACCACACTGGCAATCCCAGATAGACAAGATCTAGATAGTATTTCGAAGTCAAACGCCGAAAAATTCTCAGTGGTAGATCAGTGCATAAATACGGCAAGTCGCCAGTTTCATTCATCTCTATGCTATGCCTCTTCTTCCCTGCAGTTGCTTTTCTGATATTTTGAAAATCTCACAAACACTTGAAATAAGCATGTCTAACCAAGAATGGTTCCTGTTTTCCCTGAAGCCTTCCTCTTTGTCATTATGCTTTGTCTCCATAGACAATTTCCACCTGCCTCTTATCTAGGCAGAAGGAGAGGTTTGGCTCTGTTCTCCTCTGATCTCTTTGCCCCCACCCTTCCGATACTGAAGAGCTGTTATTCCTGCAAGGCATAGCCTTGTTTTCTTGGGCACCTCGGGCTGGGAAAGGCTGCTGTAGATCATGGTGATCCTCCCACACAGGGATCTGCTCCTCTCTCTTTTCTTAGTCAAAGTTCTGACTCTATTCCAAGTAGGGTTCATGTTCATGTTTTTGGGGGGATATGGGGCAGGGAGTCTGACACATTGTCCTTATTCCCTTCCTGAGTAACTGGTCAGCAGAGGAACTCAATGGAGACCATGTTTTTAGTTCCCCCCGTGTGTATTCCTTTCCTAGCCCATATTTAGTACAACCAACAAGGTGAGCTGGCTGGGTCATTCTAGAGAACTGTAACCCACTTGGCCTCCTTGGCATTCTTCGAAGACAGTGGATGCTCTTCCAAGTTAGATGCACTTGCTCTTCCTTTATGGATGCCATTCTTATCCTGTTCGGTCTTCCTCCTCTTCTGCCTTCAGCGTTCCCTAGCACAATGGTCTTCTCCATGAGAAGGAGTCTTGCCTTCTCATGTTGTGTCCAAAGTATGACGGCCTCAGCGTTGTCATTTGGCTTCTAGGGAAAGCTTTGGTTTAATAAAGAAATGGAAGAACATATTGTGGGGGAAACGGTTGTGGGGGTGGCAGCAAACTGAGAACGGGACCCTTCACTGGGAACCAAACCAAGGCGTACCCCTGCAAGTCTGCTGCTGACATGAATTCATTGCAGGATTTGTTAACCTCAGCCATTCATAGTGTGTCTTTGTGTTTAAATAAGTCTTCATACGCAAATTAATCTTGACCAAAGACTCTCCCTAGGCCATTCTCCATTAAATGTTGTTGATGTTTAGTCTGTTTCTGTTACTAATTTTTACTGCTAAGGTTAGCATTTCAACATGATGTTTATTTTCATGGTGCTTTCTTCGCCTGCCCCCACCCTGCAAGGCTGGGAACATATTTATCTCCTTGATGCTTGGCTGGTCATGAGATCAGCACTTTTGGCAAAGCCAAAGATCTGTTTATTGCCTCTCTTGTAAAACACCACCTTGGTTCAGTTCTGTTGAAATTGGCTGTTTACATTTTAAAGTGTTGTCATACACGTCCCCTTATGAAGTTGTGCCTTTTATATCATCAGTTTTTGTGTGTGTCTCCAGGCCAGAGGAATTGTGAGAATGGCCAGGACTTTGGGGTATGGTGAAGCAGAGGGGTTTCTCCTTTGACCTACTGGGCTCTCCTGTTTCTGACAAGCCCAAAAGCTTGCTGGTGAGAAGCTGTGCAGTGCTGGCAGTCCTGTTTGCCTAAAGGCAGGGGCTCCTGTCCCCTGACATGTGGATTTGTAGATTCTGAGTGAAGGTCATTGGTTGGTTTGGAGCTGCCAGCCAATCTAGTATGTGGAACTCAAGTCTCAACAGGATATTGGAAAGCAGTCTAAAGATAAGGTCCAGGGATGCTCAACCACCAATGACCATCCTAATTAGCAATTATTCATAGGCTGGTTTTCAGCCATTTTCCTAAATCTCCTGAGGATTCAAAGGCTGCCTAGATATTTTAAAAAATTGCTTCCTCCCCACCCCCCACCCCACCTCTTCCCATGCAGGACCTCATAAGGAGAGATATCCTGTACTACAAGGGACGGATTGACATGGATCGGTATGAGGTTTTGGATATAGAAGATGGACGGGATGATGACTTCAATGTGAGCATGAAGAATGCCTTCAAACTTCACAATAAGGAGACTGAGGAAATGCACTTATTTTTTGCCAAGAAGCTGGAGGAGAAACTGCGGTGGTTGAGAGCCTTCCGGGAGGAGAGGAAGATGGTACATGAAGATGAGAAAATAGGTAAGACTCAGCACTTCGGTCAGTGGGAATCAAGTCTGTGACTGATGCCCGTCTTGCCTGCTGTCCGGTTTTTGGTCACTGGCTTTATCTTGCAGCCAGTGACTCTGTGTTCTTAAACATTGGCTTCTGGCCTTTTCTGTTATGAGCAAATTCTCCTGTTAAAATCAGCAAAATAATGCTCTGTGACTGAGTTGAGCAACCATTGTTTGGCCTCAGAAAGCATTCCCTTTTGGGTTACCTGTGGGGGCCTCATGTTGGTGCAGAGTGGGACTGAATTCATCAGCAGGCAGGGCCTGGACGAAGTCGGTAGGCCACCCTTTTCTTTCTCCCTCTTCCTTCCTGCCCAGCAGCCTGCCAGGAAAGAGAAAGATTATTCCGAACTGGTCACAGGCAGGAAATCCGGCCAGTGGCTGCACGTGGCCTGACTGCCCCAGCTTGCCCACCGCAGCTTGATGACCTTGCCTTTAAAAGGCTAGAATGGAGATACATGGCCATGTCTGTCTGCTTGGTTTACAGGAAGCAAAATCCTGTAAATCCTGTAAACCTTAGTTTTACTGGGACTCGTGGGTGGCAGCACATTCCAGTTGGAGGAAATGCTGGAGTTGCTTTCAGAAGAGGAAAGACTTGGGGTTTTAGCCAGAGAAGCTGATTTAACAGGGCTACGGAACTTGTTGCCCTCCAGATGTTGGACTGCAACTACCATTGTCCCTGACCATGCTTGTACTGGATGGGGCTGGTGGGAGTTGTTGCCTGCTAAATTCAGAGAGATGCTGTTTCCCCAGCCTTGCATTAGCAGGATCTGTGAGAATATGTGCAGGGATGTTGTGAGTGGTGTTTCATGCAGAGGTTTTGTGCAGCAGTCTCACGAACAGGACTCTGTCCTAGGGCTCTGAGAATGGCATTTGGACAAGCATGCTGGATTTCTGGAACTCTCTGGTGTGTTCACTTTTACCCCCCTCCCCTTTTTCCCTCCCTAGGCTTTGAAATTTCTGAAAATCAAAAACGACAAGCAGCTCTGACAGTAAGGAAAGTCAGTAAGCAGAAAGGTAAACCATGTGTGCATGCTTTGTCAGGTGGGTGGAGGGAGGAGGGCTTTGGTTTTCCTCCCACTTCCTTTCCATAGGAGTCAGGATGTTCAGCCTGACACATTGATGTTTAAGAATAACCTCTGGCATTCCAGCCAACACCTGCACTTTCTCCACTGTGTCCCAAGTTGTCCAAATGCAATCTTTTCCATTCCTGAGATTCATCCAGAGCTTTGGACCCACCCAACACTTGGTTGCTCGTAACTGATGACATAGAGCAGGGCTGTCAAAAGTATGTAGCCTGAGGGGTGAATCCAACGTTGGAGAAGCTCTCAGTGGGTGCATTTCAGTGGCGGGTGACGGCCAAAGGGCAGGAATTCTGTCCGGATGCCCGCCTGTTTTATCTTGAAGACTTGCAGATGCTGGCTAAGCCCGTGACAACTTCTCATCTCCTGGGTGCTTCTGCTGTTTCCACATGTGCAATGTGGGCTGCTTCTGCCTGTCATCGTGCATTCTTATTCCCTCGTCTTGAGGAGTTGTCCATACGGTGGCAGGAAGAGGTGTGGGTACCAATGCTGTTTCAGGCCTCTGTGCTGTGAGGGTCACCAAGGGATGGATGCCGCCAACATGTGGGCATCCTTTTGCAAGGACTCTTGGACATTGTCTGTGATCTCCCCATCCATATTCTGCACTCTGATTCACTGTTGGACAAGAAGAAGAATAGAAAATCACCTGATGACTTGATCATCTGTGATTCTAAAGCAGCCTTCCCGATACAGGGGCCCTGCAAATATTTTGGACTTCCACTTCCACCAGCTCCAGCCAGTGCAGTCAATGGTCAAGAATGCTGGTAACTGTAGTCTGTAACTTCTGGAAGGTACAGGATTGGGGAAAGCTAATAGCTGAGTGCAACATGAGATGGCTTCATACAGTATGTTTGCTACACAAAAAACTTAAGAGTGAGCAGAGGGGAAAAGGAGCTTGCACAAGAAGACTTTCTTTCCTTAATGACTGCAGGAAAAGTTCCCAGTGGGTTGTGAACAGAACCTTGATTGTCCCTAATGAAATGCAAGGCAGCCCAAGACACCATAGGAACATTTCCAATTGAATTGCTTTAGAGTTTCATCCAGGCAAATACAGCTTCCTTAATTGCATTTATTTTTAAGCATGGCAGTTGTTCTGTAATTTTCTCTGATCCTCTGTGCCCCCTCTGAAAAACAATGATATTTTATTCATGGGCCCATGTTTACATACAAAATCTATTCATGTCTGCATCAGGTGATGTCTTCCCTGTACGAAATGAGTTCAGAACCCTGAAGCACTGGGAATTTATGTTATCATAACCCATCCCCAGGGGCTTAGCTTTGGGAGAATCAGATGGAAAGAAACCAAATTGTGGGGATGTCTGCTTTTGCTTTCTTTTTCACTCAAGCCATGAATGCAGAAATAGCAATCAAACACTTTCTGTATTAAGAAAGGGAGACTTGGAGTTGCTCAGAGCAATCCAGTGAGGGACAGAGGAGGGAGCATTGTTGGCAGAAGAGCAGCCGTGTTCATAGAACTGTAAACTGTCTTGAGATTTTCTGTAAAAATAATAGATGGTATAGGGGGTAGATAAATAAATAGCTCAGTTCTGATCAGCCAGGAGGGGCTGGGGGGCCTTACCCTGCCCCCTCATTTCCCCCTTGGCCCAACAGCTAGGCATGTCTGGGGAACAAAGGAAGCTTGACCCAGTGGATCTAAAGCCCCCGAAGCAAGTTCATTTCTTCAGTCCTTTCTGCAGAAGGAGCAGTGCAGCACCGCAAACATTGGCCACTGACGGACGGCTTCCGCAGGTGGACCTCCCCCTCCACTCCTGGAGGGAAACTCCTGCAGAATCCTACAGCCCCTGGAAACAGCCCATCAGCTTGGCATCTAACAGAGTCACTGGGGCAAAAGCACGGATGGATGGACCAGCCCGTGTTCCCTTCCCGACTGGTGCTCTCCTGATGTGTGTGGACTCTAGCACCCATCGCTGAGCTTGGTGCCGATGATAGAAGTTATAGTTGCGCACATCTGGAGGACACTGGATCGGAGGAGGCTGGCCTAGGCGATGGCTGCTCCTGCTGCAACGAATCTGCTAGTCTTGAGCGTGGCATGTGATCGCTTTGATGAAACGCTCAGGAAAATCTTCAGACACTCTCCCATCCACTCACATCGGTAGTGCTTTATTTGGCAGGGTGGAAGGCGATGTTGTCATGCCCAAAAGACTACGGGTCACGTAGAAGCAGGCGGAGAGAAGGCAGGAAGAAAATGAAGGCACTGAAATCTGTGGCAAACTGTGCACATTGAGAGAAGGAGTACTTTTTGCAACACTTAAGAATATTTTACAAAAGCAAAAATCACAGCAGGGAGCATTCATTCTAAATGCATCATTTCCACTCTACAAACAGGACTGGGTAATTCAGAAATCTGTCCTCCTGGGAGGCATTCAAATGGGGACCGTTTCAGAGGAGCATACTAGTTATAAGATTTCTGGTTTCGGCAGTGGATTAGGGCTCCTTCAAAATTGATACAGTGACAATGTGAGTGGATTTCTTGGATATTCTGGGATTTGCACTTTTTATTGGATTGAGGAAACCTAACTATATTCGAGAACTTGTCTAAAGACAGCACCCAACTAATTCTTTACTTTCCCTAATTCCATCAGGCTTAAAGTAAAGGACATGGGGTAAGTTGGAGGTATTTTTTTCCCCACAAGAGAATGTAATGCTCACGGATCGGTAGGCAGGCTGGCTGCCAGTTCATAGTCAAAACAGACATGGTGAGCAATGGATGATCTGGTCTCCTGATGGTTTGATTCAACGTAAAGCACCACTGGGTGTTCTGTTCTTTCATCAGAACAGCAGTGCTGGAGGAGGACTAATTAATTCTCCCCCCTGGGCTTCTTTCCTTGTCAAAAACCCCATCTCTGAAGCTAGAGGGGAAAATAAGCAGGTATTATAAGAACTGGCACGGGGTCATTCCGACTCATCTTGGTTGCAGTTGAACCTTGTCATTCCAAGCGGTAGTCCATAATACAGTTTCACACTTTTGGCATGGAATCGAGGCCTTTGTTGAAACACGGTGGGGATTTGAGGGAAGACCATAAATAGTGCGATCCTAAGCATATTAACTCTAAAGGCTTTGGTGGAACTTCTAGCAAGAGTATTTGGTAGCAGCCTTAATTGGGTTCCATCTGCCTACAGTAGCAGATTGGTAAAGTTCTTCCAAGAAAAACTTCCTGGGGAAGAAATAGGAAAGAGCTTGGGCAGGGATTGGGTGCCGCGATCATGATCCACAGCTCCGCTTGACACAAGCCTCCAAATCTTGGTGGTCCCATCACCAGTCTTTTCAGGTGGGGCTTTGCTTAGTCCGTGGCCACGTGGCATAGCAGTCCTAAGCAGTGGTGTAGTAATAAATCTGGAGATGCCACCTCCCATCAGAACCATCTCCATAGCCACTTGCCCAAGGAGAATCCAAAAAAATCAGGCAACGGTGTGGATCTTTGCACCAAGGCTGCTCTGGAGGCTTTCATCTCCATGGAGAGCAGGTCTTTTGTAACATGAATGGGTCTTAATTTCCCATTCAGGACCAAGCTGCCCTAAAAAAAACTGTGCGAGGAGCAGTAGTTGCTCTTCCAAGTTACCCCGTTTCCCCGGTTGCTCTTGCAGGTAAGCCCAAAGATGGCAAGCACCCAGGAGGGGATGGCAAATGTAAGCAGCGTCCTTGCTGATTGCAAAATGCCAGTGCTGCGTCTGCATGAGCCCTCGCTCCACCGCAGTGAACACCCTACGAATCCACCCCTCTTCCCCAACAAGCATCTGCTTGCTCCTTTGAAGCTGCATGCGTGCGTTGGCAGGTTGGTGTGGATGTGCAGACCAGACTGCCCCCGTGGCAGAGTATGTGGTTCAACAAGCTCCTGCTTTTAGAAGGTGTGCATGCGCAGGCTTTGAGGACTCCCCAAGAGAAAACTTTTCCAAAGCCGCATGCCAGTCACCAAGAACACTTCTGGGGTGTGCTTGCGTTCCTGCTTTTGTGCACAGATAACGGCCTAGGAAATGCCCTTGTGGTTGATTCGAAAGATTACTCCTGCTTCCTTCTTCAATGGGCCAGATCAGGTCCTTCTAGAGCCTTGTTCCGAATTCAAAGACTGGGCCTCCATGCAGCCAGTGCAGAAGCAATCTGGGCAGCTGCTCCCCACCCGGTCACAAGTGGGCCTCAGAGGGGGACATCAGCCCTGGAGCCAGCCATCTGGGAAAAAGCTGTGATCCCAGCCACCCGTGCTCTTGAGCCTCACACGAGTGGCTCCTAAGCCTCCAGGTTCAAAGGTTCCTAAGCATCGGTTGTGAGGATGCGAGAGCTGTACCCTGCCTTACCTTGGTGCAGACCGTTGCCCTGGAGGAGAGCAGGGTCTTTTGGGGGGGTAGTGAGAAGTTCCAAGCAATCTCAAGTGTGCAGAGCTCTGAGAACCTGGGGTGTTTTTGTCTTGGTTGCTTTTATTAGACTAATGTAAATGGTGTGTGTTGCAAATGTAAAAGTGTCGGAGACCCTAGCCACTGGGCAGGATCTGCCCTCCTATGACGTCTGCATGTAGCTTGTTGGAACTGGCACTAAAGCAATTTCTCTGCAAATCCCACTTAGCAGTTCCAAAATTGGAGGACGCCATCCCTAGGCTTGTGTAGCACATGAGCAGAAGACAAGGCAGGCTTGTTCTCCTTTGCTGCAGAAGGTCAGGAATAGAGCCCTCGGCTGGAAGCAGATTTCAGCAACAGCTGTTTGGCACCAGAACCAACTGCTTTGCGGGGCAGTGGGCAAGCTCTTCGTGGCAGGGGAGGTGTCAGGCATTGCCCGGGGATGCTGTATTTGCCTCTTCCCCCATCTGCATGAGACAAAGAGTTGACCAGAGGGCCTCCAAGGCCCCTTTCAGGCAACGTTTCTGAGCACCTAGGTCTGCTGTGTGTCAGCAGGCCACGCTTTTCTCTTGTCCAGCTTTCCATCTGTATCATTTGCTGGCCAGAAGCAGGAGCAATCATCTGGCCATCACCCTACGTGGAGGCGTCGTACTGTTGGAAGTTCCCCTGAGAGCTTTCAGGGCAAATGGCCGTTGTTAAGCAGATTCTTCACAACGAAATGCCCTCTTTCTTAGAGCAAAACTAGTCCCCCAGACAATTGTGAATTTGATATGTCTCCTTTCCTTGAAGAATAACCCAGCTGTCTTCCTTCCCATGCACAGATAACTTGTTAGAGTTTTCTCTTAGCTTTCTTAGTCTCTTGCACATCACATGAGCTTTTAGCAATTGGTCCAGAAAACCCACTAAGCTTCAAGAGCGAACGCGATCTCCCAGGTTCCAGCTCAGTGGTGTAACCAGGAGGCCACATTGGCCACCATTAGAATGCAGTCCTTGAGAGCTTCTCAGAAGTGGAAATCAACCCTCGGCTGGAGAACATTCGGCGCCCTTTCACTACAGTGTGATGGAAATGCCAGGAAGTGGGGCAGATGGGTCAATGCATCTATTTATCCAATGTATTCTGATTGACGTCTTTTCCTCTGGCCCTGTTCTCCCCCCCCCCCCCCCTTTTGTTTTCCGCCTTTCATACAGGTGTCGGCCACTCGCGATCCGTTCCTCCAGCCTACCCGCCACCCCAGGATCCACTAAATCAGGGACAATACTTGGTGACCGACGGCATAGCCCAAACGCAGGTCTACGAATTCACCGAACCCAAACGCAGCCAGTCGCCATTCTGGCAAAACTTCAGCAGGTTAACGCCATTCAAAAAATAATATATAGAGTGAGATGGATAATTTTAAAAAAAATTTAAAAAACTATTAAAAATAAAAACCTATATTTATAGATGGACCTTTTTTGGAGAAGCACTGTTGCAACTAAACACACACACACACACACACACACAAAACACATGTGCATATGCACATGTGTACACACACAGCATTTTCAAGGACCAAAAACATTTTTCTTGTTCTGGGGGAAACAGTCTCTGCTACCATATTATAGGAAGCACCAAGTATTTCTAATCATGTAACCTACTTTATTTTGACACCATTGGACTCATTGTTGTTACTGTTGTTCTTTTTTAATATACATATATATATATATATGATTTGGTTTTTGTCTCAAAATCGTCTCCTGGGATGATTTCGTGTTTGTTGCGCATCCTGACATGTTCCACCCAGGGCCATCCAGATGTACATTTTGTTTTGAATTTTATTTATGAATTATCTTTTCTTACCAAGAAGAAAGAGCAAACGAACCACTCCTTTTCCACATCTCATTCCCAACGCCCACCATGAATGCAACCCACCAGGAAGCAGTTCCCGCCTGAGCACCATTGATAGGCGAATGGGACGTCTCATTCACTTCAATGGAACGAGTTCTGAGGGTGTGCTGAGGTGACTGCACCACGTACATTGAATGTCCAGGCTCCTTTTAGAAAAAGAGCCACGGTGCATTTTGTTTCTCTACATTCTTCCATTTGGGATCCATGCTCTGTCGTATCCTTTGTAATTCATGTGTTTCTCAATTCTGTTGCTTTGAATGGTTTGATAGCAGAACACCAAATAGGAGGTCTGTTCTGCTCAGCAGAGCCCATTCTATTTCCTGGGAAAGTGCCAAGCAGAAGCACTTGGTAGGCTGCTTCCCAGGCAAGCGTAGAGAGCTGGATGTGAAGAGGACATCCAATGCTTCGTTATGCAAGGAATTAGATCTGTTTGGTCGATAACGCTGCATTCCTTTTGATCACATTTCCCCCGCTTCTTAGAATGCAGCTGAAAGATAACTTTGGTTCCCCCCTAGTGTTCTCATCACAGTTCTTCTGTATAGAGAGGATTTGCTTCTGATTTTGCTGGTGTGATTTATTTTTAATTGAGAGTTCAAAATGCCTCTTAAAATGCCCACTTTTCTGTTTATACAAATGGTGAGCTCAAAAGATTAGAGGAAAAGAGCTTGTGGGTTCACCTCACAGATCCTAGTTGAGAACCAAAGAGATTCTCAGCCGCCACCATCCTCCCGTCCAGCAAATGGCCAGATTCCCCACCAAGAGGACCGACTGATTTTGCCACACATATCCCATACACGGTGTGGGTTTTGCACACCAGTGATGACTGTTGAGTGATGGATTGACTACAGGGATGGTGAACTATTTGGTAGACTTTTTTGTCTGGCCTCCTGTATCTGGACAGCCTTCTGAGTGGGATGGTGCAATGTGGCGCCCTGCAACAGCAGGGGGTTGGACTCGATGGCCTTCATGGCCCCTTCCAGCTCTATTATTCTATGCTTCTATTATCTGCCCCTAGTTTAGATCGAGGTTAAATGTCCAAGTATAGCACTGGCCAGTCATAAAGAGTAGTTTTCTATGCCATCTTTGCTTTCATAAGGGATCTTTTCCTGGTTCCTAAGACATCAGATCTGTGGAATGAGCTTCCTTGTATATGGACAGTACTGCTATTTGTCATGATGCTTCTCTGAACAGGGACATGTGAGAAGGCCCACAGACGTAATTGGTTTTTTTCATGTAGGCAGTGCCACTTGTTCAAATTATAAATCATGAATGGGCTACCTTTAACGAACCTAGCTTTTCAATGACTCTTTCTCTCTCTCTCTTCCACTTTCTCTAAAAAGTTGTGCTTATCAAAGCCATCTTGCAAATTTCCTTGTGAATTCCCTAGGTATGTGTTAGTCTAATCACACACTGGCCTTTGTCCCAGAGTCAGATTTATCTCGAAGTGGCGAAGTGTAGGATTGCACTTCATAGCCACATTTGTGTTGCAAAGATAAAAAATAAAAGCTCAGGTTTGCTTGAGATTGGCTAAGTGGTTCCAGGGAGCTGCACATCCGCTATGACAGGAAGTTCTTTCTCTATTAGCCACACCAAGCAGATCCACCCTTATGCCTTGCAGAGCCTTTGGGCTTCCTGTCAACTGTGGCCCATATGGCCAATGATTAGGAATGATGGGATATATTGTATGAAGCATCTGGAGGGCATGAGGTTGGGGAAGGCTCTAACAGAGGTGATGGCCAATTGTGGATGTGGGAAATTTCTTATGGACTAGCGTGCTTTCCTTTGCCTTTCACGTGTCTTAAGAAACGGAAATGTTTAATGTGATTTTATTTATCTCATTGCAAACTTCTCCATCATTGGCTGCCATTTGAAATGAAAGGGAAATCCACAATGTGGTAACATCGCAACACACATTTTAGTTTCCAAGAAATTGCCAGGTAGGGATGTGCGCAACTGGAAAAGTCATTTTGTAGGAGCTCAGTGAACTTTGGCACATTTCTGACCCGATGGCCATAATCAGGCTGCGTTCAATGGGAGGTCTTTAGCCTTCCAAAAATTGCTTGAAATAGTCATGCAGAGTTGGAGTAGAGTTTGCAAACAGAATGTTGATTTGCACAAACTGCATAATCAGTGCAAACTAGGCCAACTCTAGTCTCTGTGGTTCTTGTTGTAACACTGGACATGGGAAGTATGGAAGCATCCTCTTTCTCATCTTCCGCCTTGGTCACCCTGAAGTTTCTGACAATTACTCTCAGATTTGTGCAGAATTTAGGCCTCAGTTCCACAATTGATGAACTTTTTGCACAAATTTGCACAAATTGCAGACCACAGGCTTAAATTTTGTCCAAATTTCCCCTGCATTTTTAAATAAATCCCACAGCTTGTGGTCAGAGATGTTGCAAGGAATCCATTTTCTGTGGAAAATCCATCAGATTCCTTGGTTCCATATTCATCTGATTGGAATGACTCAGAGTCAGAGCGAGTTGACATGAGCATGGAATCCTTGGGGCTGAGTTGAGAAAACCTGCTGGATTTTCACATCCTATTTGGTTTCAGGTTGGATTTACGGACATACAGGGAGCTTGAATAAAAGGATTGATTGGAATTTTGGGCAGAGTTGTCTGTACTGGGGGCACAGTCCTTTAAATAAAGAAAATGATTAAAATTTGTCTAAGTAGCTATTGGCTTTGGCTGAGTCTTGGTCAAAGTTTGTCAGACAGGTCAAATCTTTCTTTGAGAGAGATGGATTGGTTTATACTAATTTCATAGTTGGTTTCAGCTAACTAAAACGAACTCTTAAGGATTTGAGTGGAATAGAAGATGAAGAACAAGTAAGTTGCTACAACGCTTTTATTGCAAAGAGCGTCTCTGTTTTGCAAAAGCAAAAACGAAACAAATGAATTGCACTGGTTTGCTTAGTGAAACGGGTGCCGAGAAATGGATGTAGTCACACTGTGAAGGAGAGAGAGAGAAAGTGTGAGAGAGAGGAGGGCAGGAAGTGGGGGACGAGTTGTCGACCTGATGCAAGTTTGTCTTGTTCCTTTATCTTTTTAACTGCTTGAGGGGTGGGAATGGGGGGAATTCACAGCACATTGGTTAAGCCTGTTCATTTGCTGTTTTGTGCCTCAGAGAGCGAAAGTGAAACATCCATTATTTTTATGAGAAGATGCTTCCTAAATATTCGCACTAGGAAAAAAAAAGAAACCAACATCGTCACACCATTACTTGCATCCTAAGTCGAGACTCAATCGGTCTGACAAGATCCACTTGTTGGACTGGCAGCTTCTTTCTTGAAGTGGAGAAAACCAAGGGGAAAAGAGCATTGCCGACTCAGAGCAGAGCGTCCGGCAGACGAGGTGCTGGCTTTACCCCCAAGCCCGGAGGTGTGCTTGCCCCAGCTATTGGCATCCAAGGACATCCTCCTCTTTCCATATGTTGTCAAGGTGCTACAAGGCATGAAGCATTTCTGCAAAGGAGAACCAGCAAAGGGTTCCAGTTTTACTACCTAGCTGCCAATGTTTTCGGTGGGGAGGGCTGGAGTCAGGTTGAGCCATTTTGTAGACTTGAAAGCGTCCATCTGATCCGATGTGGGGAGGGGGAAATGTTGGAGGGATGATGATGATGATGACGACGACGACGACTGATCATGTTTCATAGACTTACAATTTCTGGACCAGACCAAGAGGAAGCTGCCACCATTTCATGTGGTGCCGTGAGGTTTACAGGAAGGAAAGATGTGAGACACTTGCTGTACCCAAGGTTTCTCTGGCTGAATCCAAGAAGAGAGCTCTAGATATAATACGTACAGGGAGGAGGTACTTGCCCTGTTTCTTTAGACCAATGATATGCATTCCCCTCATCATCACCACCTTGACTTTACAGATACAAAGGATCTCTCTTCAAGATTATTGTCTCCCTACCTTCTTTTAACATTTAAGGAAAAAGCAAAGCAAGAACCAACCTAGGTGCATCTAACAATTGTAAATAGACAATAAATAGAGGAAAAAAAACATATATTTGAAATTTGTTTCAGTTTCTTGGATGGAACCTAGCCATCCATTGCAATGTTCTTGATAGTACACTGTGGTGCTTTCAGTTTCTGGTTATGTTCTCTTTATGCTCAGTCATCTTTTCATTGCAGCTACATTTCAGGGAACATGTAAATTTAGTAGCTATTGTAAGTTCTGCATGGCACCACCAAGCTTATTTTTCCTTGAGAAGACAAGAAGGATCCTGATGGAGCATAACAACCCTCTGAATGGGGAGGGGCATGTGCCAGAGAATGCACACAGGAGTGGGGAAATGGATGAAAATCCTCGTTTGGGGCCAATTTTGGGGGAGGGGGGCTGTCATGGTCTGAGCAAGCAGACAAAGGATGTGGGTAACTCAGCTAATTCTCACTTTCCAGTTCTCTTATTTTGTTTCTATTGAAATGTTTGACCCTGTCAAACAAATGTCGGAGCCGTGTGTATTAAAACAAACAAACAGTGTTTTAAAAAAAAGTGTTGTAAAGACACTGAGCCTTATGAAAAATATTTATGGAGTTAAATAAAAAGAAATGAAAAGACATCTCCAGGCATTTCTTAAAACAAAAAACAAAAACTACACACACCTACTAATGATTTTCCTACATAGATCAAGTTTGTGTTTTGTTTCTTAACTGATACGAGAAGAGCTTTCGGGGAGATGAGTACTTACCCTGCAGATGGGGACGGGGCCATATTTTCTGTGGTGCCTGAACATTTGGTCTTGAGAACCATTTCTTCGCTCCTTGATTGGACCTCCACTGAAGGGAGAGCTTAATGGCTGGAGGGCGGATCTTGAGGAATTACGGTTGACCTCATTTGGCATTCGATTTCCTGACTATCACAGGTCACTTTGCATTTTTTTATCTTATGCAAGCAGGCACTTGCGTGTTGTTTTTGTCCGGTACTCTTCCGTCGACCTGGATGCAGTTCTCTCGCTCTCCCCCCCGCCCCCCCATGTTCGCCAACCCCAACATATGGTGACTTCTTCATGTTCTTAGCCCATGAAATACAGGATCACTACTGAGTGTGACATTGTCATGAAAAATGCAAATAAAACGGTGACACAGGAACCAATCTAATTAAATGGCTACTGACAGGAGATGCAAGAAGGAGATGCAAAATGAAGAAGCCAAGAATACGGCAGGGTGCCAAAAGCTGTTGAAGCGACAATGTTTTGTGGTAACCTATAAGATATGCTACCTTTGAGGCAGCTATCAAAGCAGTCTATTCAGCTCAGTTCAGCTAACAGTCCATCTTGTTCGAAAGGGTACTGAGGTACATTCTGGGTCCTCAGGAGGAGGGCAAGGAGCACGCGAGTACGCCAGCCAAATGGCTGTCAAGAAGCTGATGCTTCAGGTGTTCACCTTGATTCAGTGCCGTTGAAGTAGCTCCCATTCTTTTATGATGTCCTATGTGAGCATGCGTGAAACAGCCTCTAACATGCAGGAGGGAAAGCAGGCAGCCTCTACTCGTGTGAAACCTGGTAAGGGGCTCTGCAGGACTTGGGATGGTGGTGCTTGTGAGCAGGCTACAGTCATGGTCATTTCTAATGCAGAGGAGGAGAATGCATGGTGCTGGATGCTAAAGGAGGAGCGTGCTTTGGACTTGTCACCTTTTAATCAATCTCTGCTTGGAATGGCTAGTTTGGGGCTGTAAGACTGCCCATTGCTTAAGACAAATTTTGATCTAGTCATTATGTCTAGAGCAGGGTTCCTCAAACTTTTTTAACCGAGGGCCAGTTGAAAGGCAGTGAGCGCAGGCTGGCAAGGCAACGGCGACAACAGGTGCAGTGAGGCAGTGGTGGTGGGTACTGGCCTGGTCGCCCCCGGCATAATTAAAAATAGATTTTAAAAGTTATATTTTTGTTACTTTCGATCCTTTATTCATCTTCGTTTTTCTTTCTCTTCCACCTGCCTCTCTTCTGTTTCCCGCTCCATATTCTTGCTCTGTATATGCGTGCAATGGCATGGGCGGGGGGAGAGGGGAGAGCCGGCACACATGCAGTTGAGCTGTTGCGATTTTGTGCATGCACCGGCGCTCTCCCTGCTCAGTTTTAAAGAACTTCTGTGCCGGCTCACAGCTTTTGGACTCACTTGGAGATCGTTTTCTCTGAGTGAGTCCAAAACCTCTGAGGTGGGCCATATAAATGGGCACGGTGGGCCAGATCCGGCCCGCAGGCTGTAGTTTGAGGACCCATGGTCTAGAGAGTCAGCAATCGATGCCTGTAAGATGCACATTGTTCCCTGTGTTTTGTGCATGTGCATGGGTGCATGTGTGCTAGTGAGGAATTGAATTTCCTGGTTATGGTAAATGTAGAAGAACAATGTGCAGTATGAGATGGATTTATTTGGACACATGTAGGGCATCTATGCATGTTTGTCATTGTTGCTGCATGCCATCAAGCCCTGTCTGACTCACGGCGGCCCTGGAAATGAGTGCCCTCCAAAATATCCTGCTTTCGTCAGCCTTGCTCAGCTCTGCTGAACTCGGGGCCGTTGCTTCCTTTATGGAATTGATTTGTCTTACATGTGGTCTTTCTCTTCTTCTGCCCTCGACTTGCCCTAGCATGGCTGTCATCTCCAGGAACTTTTACCTTCTTGTGAGATGCCTGAATTACAACAGCTTTGGTTCCATCCTTCTTGCTTCCAGGGAAAGATCTGGATTAATTTGGTCTTGGAGCCACTTGCCCATCTTTCTGTCAGCCAGGGTATTCCTGAAGCTCACCATCATGGAATGCAGTAACCTAAACAGCATGCAGATTCAGGAAAGTGGAGAGCAAAAAGAGTTCTTCATCTGACAGTGACACCCTAAAGAAGGTGTCAGGTGGGTCTCCAAGGGAGGGCATCCCAAAGCCAGGGTGCCCCCACTGATAAATCCCTTTCCCTGGTAACCACATGCCTCACGTCACTTGGAACACCCAGAGCAGGACCCCCAAAGGAATAGTTGCAGGTGGAACTTATCAAAGGTGTCTGTCTAACAGGCTTGCTTTGTTTCAAGCCGTTAAAGGCCCAGAAACCGCATTCTTGCCAGAAGTCTGAGTGACTGCATGCAAATGGACCACCAGAGCTGCAGTGCATGGGAGGCAATTTCCTTCCTTCTCTACAAAGAATCTTGGACATCCCTTTATCCAGTTGATCCATGTGAATGTGCTTGGAAAAGCTGACTGTAAGAGCCAACTCCCTGAAATGTACGTATCTTCAAATTTTGCAGAGGAGTTAATTGGCTTGCAGGCAAGAAGCTCCCCATCTCTGCCTTAAGCCAGGTGTAATTATGACCAATTCGTGGGCTTGTCTTCACTCTTGACTCACCAGCTCAACACTGGCTGGGTTCAGACATGAAAACCAACACTTGGGTTGAGGATGGATTGAGTGTGGGTTGCTGTTGACATGTGTTATCGCTTGAGCCCCAATGAGATGACAAACCATGGTGAACATCCCATAGATCGCAACTCAACTTCAAGCCATGGGTTCTCTTCCTGGGTTGTTTGTAGTTAACAACCCAAGCCTTATTAGCACAGCTGGGTTCAGATCACATGACAATTCATATTTCAACAACAAGCCATGGTCCAAGAACATCCCACACTCAACCGATACTCAGCCCTTGAGCGTGGGTTATCATGTTATCATGAATACAAGGGGGGAATATCAAAGACCCAAAGTAATTGAATGGGACCAGGCGGTTCTCAGAGATGGAGATTCCAAGGGACCAACCGTAGCCTGGGAAGACTTGGTCATGTATCCTCCTGATGAGGCTCCAGTTCCTCTTCCATAACTAGTCTGGAAGGAGTCCCCAAATGCAGATTGGTGTCTACAGCTGCTTAACCATATTTTCTGTTAAAAGACCTTTCCAGGAAGAAGTGGGTAGAAAGAGGTACTACATACCTTCCTCTTTCTAAAATCCATGGCAGGAATACATCTTTTTCAGAATGGCGTGGCCCAATCAATTTGCAGGAAAATTGATAGTATGGAAAACTAAACAACTTATAAGAACCTTTCTAGCTTACAATGAAAATACACTTGCAATCAGGATGCCAAAGTAAAATCCCATCACAAGTTGTTTAAGAAATGGAATATTAAATCTATTCCTATTCTTATATTGTTGTTATCATCATCTTCTATTTATTATTTTATTTATGTACCACCTAATAGCTGAAGTTCTTTGGGATGGTCCCAACAATTCCTAAAGATTTAAACACAAATGCAATAAAAATGCAGCATAAAATACATATTTAATGCTGCATTTTCCATGCACAAAATTTAAACCAGGATAAACAAATAAAACTATTTCTAGAAAGAACAAGCAAGCAAACTAGATGCCTTAAACATAGCATATCCCTTCATGTGCCATTAAATGCCTGGGTGTGGAGGACAGTCTTAACCTGGTGCCGAGATGATGGAGCTGGTGCCAGGTGGGCGGGGAGATCATTCCATAATTCAGGGGTCACCACTAGGAAGGCCTCCCCCTTGTTGCTGCCCTCAGAAACTCCCTTAGAAGAAGCACTTTGAGGAAGGTCTCAGAGGAGACAAGATTCTAAGCAAGTGTTAGATTACAGGTGGCTTGGAATATATGTAGTCTAGAGTGACTAACAAGTAAACGATGGATAAAGATGCTGTTTTGAATAAAACCCTAGGTAGCTCCATCAATAAGGATATGAACAACCATTCTGTCCTCTTTTCTTCCAGAGGGTTACCTGACAAGCAGGAATGGCAGCATAAAACCACTGGAGAACTTTTGGCTTGCAAACATGGAGGTGGTTGCAATTTTTCCCGGCAAGACACAGCTTGCATAATCAGAGAAGAGAAAACAAAGCAGGGAGTGGGCAGCAGTTTACCAAGCAGGCTGCTCCTTATCAACGTTCAGCCAGGAAACGTGTCTCTCCAAGGTGAGAGGATACGAGCACTTCTGGTAATCCGAAGGTGCACAGATGCAAAGCCATCCAGCCAAAATGCAAATGAGAGAAGCCTTGGCAGAAGAGAGGAGGATGGGGAAATAAGGGGGGGATTCCAGGGCAGCTACATGCCTGGATCTGCCCTGGCTCCTGTCCATTCCCAGTTCTTCCTGGAAGGTAGTTTTTGGAGGCCAGAAACTGGGAGGGGTGGATGTGCTTGTTGAACTACATCCATCAGGCAACAAAGCTCTTTTCCTAGATAAGATCCCCCAGGTGAAAGCTGCAGCAACGTTGAGTTGTCCTCTATTTCCCTGGAATGCGTTGAAATGTAATCAGAGAAGACCATCGATATTTCCTCCAAGGAGTGAGGAACCTGGAGGGAAACACACGGTGCCCCCTCCCAGGCCCTTTGAGCACCCACTCCTGAAGAAGACTCCACAGAAGTGAAAGAAGAAGGGGGTAGAATAAAGGAACTGCAAACAAAGGGACCTCTTAGCATCTTCTGAGAAAAAGGGAAACCCAAATTGGCCTCTGCAAGATAAATTCACAGTCCATGATCTCCTTTGGGCAGGACTCGGGAGAACTTCCCTGGCTGGGCTTGGGGTAAAAGGACAAGGACAG